ACATTAAAGTCAGATCCTTAAAAGGAACAAAAGAAGTTGAAGAAAAACAGGGATATCAAAAATAAATTCAAGAAAAACTAGGAATAGTCTGTCAAAATGGGAAGGCAACAGAAAAGTAATTATGGTAATATGACAAAACAATATTTTGTCACCCAAAATCCCTGGGGTCACCCAAATCACCTCCAGAAGATCACACGAGCTCCCCAGCAGTGGATCTAAACCAAGATAAAATATTTGAAATACCAGATAATGAATTCAGAGGGTTCATCATTAGGCTACTCAAGGAGATATCACAGAAAGATGAAAAACAACCTAAAAAAAATTTTTTAAACGCAATTCAGGATATAAATGAAAAGTTTTCCAGAGAGATAAATATTACAAAGAAAAACCAATCAGAACTTCTGGAAATGAAAGACACACTTAGGGAAATACAAACTGCAGAAACTTTTAACAATAGACTAGAACAAGTAACGAATTTCAGAGCTCAGAGACAAGAGTTTTGAATCAACTCAATCAGATGATGATAAAGACAGAAGATCAGACTGGACAGGCGGCTCACACCTGTAATCCCGGCACTTTGGGAGGCCAAGGTAGGCGAATCACCTGAGGTCAGGAGTTCAAGACCAGCCTGGCCAACATGGTGAAACCCCATCTCTACTAAGAATACAAAAATTAGCCCGGCTTGGTGGCATGTGCCTGTAATCCCAGCTATTCAGGATCCTGAGGCAAGAGAATAGCTTTAACCTGGGAGGCAGAGGTTGTAGCAGTGAGCCAAGATCATGCACCTGCACCATTTGATCCATTAATCCCACTAGTGGCATCACCAAAAAGAAAGGAAGTCATTACATGAAAAAGACACGTGCACACACATGTGTACAGCAGTGCAATTCACAATTGCAAGACTATAAAACCAACCTGTGTCCACTGACCAAGGCACGAATAATGAAAATGGGTAATATATACATCATACAATGGTGTATATGTAAAAAGGATTGAAATAATGCCTTTTGTAGCAACTTGCATGGAGTTTAAGGCCATTATTCTAAGTAATTCAGGAACCGAAAACCAAATATATGTTCTCACTTGTAAGTGGGAACTAAGCTATGAGGATGTAAAGACGTACAGGTGATATAATGATCTTTCAGGACTCAGTGTTGGGGAGGTTGGGAGTACGGTGAGTGAAAAACACCTGCATATTGAGTACAGTGTCCACCGATCATCTGACCAGCTCGCTTAAATCTCAGAATCATCACTATAATATTCTTTCATGTAACCAAAATCCACTTGTACCCAAAAAGCCATTGAAATGTAAAAATTAATGTATTAAAAAATACTGATCTGAGCTGGGGCTCGAAAAAGTAAAGTGACTTTTAAGTAATAAATTTGAACTCAGCAATGATGAGAAAGACATCATCATTTGCCACCTTTTATTTTAGTTTTAATACATGAATATGTGTGAATAAACCGGAACCAATACGCACAATTCACCTACAACTACAGATCCAGTTACAGAACTGTCTTTTCCACAGAATCACATTAAGTGCATGTGCATTCATGCTCATCATAGGTAGAGTACCTTTGAAGTGCAGAATATGTCTTCTCTCTTTACACTGCCATCTGCAATCTTGCTTTGGATAGCCAGTCCAACCTGCTCCTCATTATTGTAAATGTATGCAGAATCAAGATGGCGGAAACCAGCTTCTATTGCGAATTTGGTGACCTCAACAACTCTATTCCTAGGAACCTGGAAGAGCAATGAAAAGTAGTGTTTGGTGATTAATGTGCTCGACAGGTAGTTCAGGCACGAGCAATGACCTTCGCAAAGATCACAGTATTCTTGTATCTTGGGTTAGTTACATATATGGAGTGATAAACCCATCCCAACTTGCCTTAGTCTTTCCCACTTGGTAATGAAGTTTGGATATCCTGGGCCTTTTCAGGCCCAGGTAATTCCTGGCTGATCACTAGCATGGAGTTTCCCAAGAACAACCTCATATTCAGTCATTTGTTGCACAAATTAATAAGATTCAAATTATAGTTATAAATATAATTCTTATTACTACTCTTATTTGAGACAGATTCTCACTCTGTCACCCAGGTTGGAGTACAGTGGCACAATCTTGGCTCACTGAAAACCCTGCACACCCCACCTCCCTAATCCCCCATGCCCTTTATCTCAGACTGAAGCAATCCTCTGACCTCAGTCTCCCAAATAGCTGGGACCACAGATGGGCGCCATGATGCCGGTTAAATTTTTATATTTTTGGTAGGTATGGGGTGTTGCTATGTTGCCCAGGCTGAAACTCCTGAACTCAAGGGATCCACCTGCCTCAGCCTCCCGAAGTGCTGGGATTACAGGTGTGAGTCACCACAAGAAGCCTCCTAATTATTTTTGATATAGTAAAATTAACACATAGAAAAAGGCACATGGAAGGAACTACAGGAAGAATACAGTGTAAGTTCCTATGATTTGCCTCTCAGCAACGCTGCACAAAACACACTGACTTCCTCCAGCATCACATCTTGACAACATAGGGGAAATGCCTGCAAGGGATGCTATTTGGAGACTCAGTTCCCAAGATTTTAACTGGGTGCTGGTTATATTGACCAAGTCTCTATAGCACACACCAAACATCCAGTCTTGTAAAGAAAGCAGATATGCAGAAACCCCACACATTGTACAAGTAGTTAATTATAGATACTACCCTTATTAGTTAGGAAATGATGAGGAATTCTAAGACACCAGCCAGGCTCCAACTTTGAAAACATCTGTGTCTATGGGTGACAGTCTATAGCGTTGACTCTTTCTACACAGCTATTAGCCATATGCTTTAGTCTTAAAAAATATGGCCAACTTTTTTAGGAAAGGTATAATTTCAGTGAAATTTAAAATTATTGACTTATCTACCAAATTTGGATAAAGATTTGAAAGGTACCTTTTTTAAACAACAAAGCCATACATAGAACAATTTTCTATTTTAATATGAGTATTTCAGAAGCTTTCTATTTCCAATAATATTAAAAAGAACCAGCTGTCAGGTCTCACTGCCTTCCCCAGATACCAGCCCTGATCTCTTTGCTGTGCAGCCACTCAAGTTTACCAAGGCTGGAGCTTCCGTGCTGTGATTTCCTTACTTCCCCTTCACGCCAATTGCATTACAAAGTAAACTGCTAGTGTCGATGGTCTTCAAGATGTGTGTCTGTATAGTTGAGAAGAGTAAGACACATTTTATGTGACTAGTCCCTATTCACATACTTAGTAGCCTTGGAATACAAGTTTTCTTCCAGTGGAGAAATAGTTCAGTCTAGAAAATAAAAGTCTCCATTTTGCCCATTTCTATGTCAGAGGACCACCCCTATCATTTTTATGCAAATCTGATGCATGTTAACATGGACCAAAAATTCAAAATTTCTCTTGTGAGGTTCTTTTTTTTTTTTGACACAGAGTTTCGCTCTTGTTACCCAGGCTGGAGTGCAATGGCGCGATCTCGGCTCACCGCAACCTCCGCCTCCTGGGTTCAGGCAATTCTCCTGCCTCAGCCTCCCGAGTAGCTGGGATTACAGGCACGCGCCACCACGCCCAGCTAATTTTTTGTATTTTTAGTAGAGACGTGGTTTCACCATGTTGACGTGAGGTTCTTTTTTTCTTAAAATAAAGTTATATTTTCTTTCACATAATTTTCCTAGAGGTGAGAGTCGTACATGTGAAATTAAGTCTGGGACCAGAATTATTACTTTGTCATGCCCAAGGCCACGTGACGGCTCAGCAATACTCTCTCCAACCGTTTTCACGCACCCCATCTTTAGGCACTGTTACCACAAAGATTTTCTTCGATCATGTCTACTTGGAAGACTAAACAATTTCTTCAATTACAGAAATAAAGAAAGAAACCATTTCACTGCAGTCAATCTCCTACAAAAGGAAATGCCAGGCAGTGTTCTTCACTGCTGAGTTTTAAATATTCTGTAAAGCTGGGGAGGCCCATAAACAGAACAAAAAAAAACAGTGTATAAAATAAAAATAAGCAGTACATGACGATATGAGCAGACCTCAGTGCAGAACAGAATCTGACTACCTTCTCTCTTGGAACAAAGACTAGCTCTGACCTAGTAAAACGGACATGGTGAGTCACGCAGAATCACATAGGAACACAAAGCTAAAACCCAGATCATCTCCCGCTCCTACTAGCTCCACTCCTTTACACGCGCAACCCTGAGAACGTGATTGTTACCTCTGGAGGTGCGTAGGTGCCAAATCCCAATACAGGCATAAAGTGACCATCATTTAGCTCCACTCGCTGACATCTGGGATCCATTTTATGTCCCTTCTTTCACTAAGCAGATCCTGTTTCCTTCGTTAGCATCCGGCATTTATATTCACAGGTTACATAAACAATGGGCAGACAATGCTGCTCGGCCCACTCTCTTAAAGGCATGTAGGAGGAAGCAAGTGATAGCCTGTTACAAAGCTGTGAAGAAAACTGAATCCAGTTCACTGTTTTTTATCAAAGAGAATTCTTACTTACATTATTACATAGTCGGAGTAAAGTTATTCATTTCTTGCTGAAGTAAAGTTTTCTATCCAGAATCTATCTGGCTATTATCTATCTATATCTATCATCTATCATCTGTCTATCTCAAAAATTCCTCCAATATATTTATAGAATGATTAGTGATCGTATGTTAGACTATAAAACACCTCCAGCAACAGGTCTCGTTGTTGTTCATGCCATGATGATGTCACATCTTTATTTTATGTCATATAAACGATCGACCATTTTACATCTTTCTTTCACACAGATGCTATTTAAAGGAATGACTAGTGAGCATTTTTTAAAAGGTGACACTCAAAAAAAAATTAAACATTAGAGCCAAAAAAATTTCTTTTACCTTTTCTTCAGCAAATATCTTGGTTTTCTCTTCTTTGCACTGTAGAAGGAATATTCATTCCTAATGAAAATGCAGTCCTGATGGTATTGTAATCCTGGCAAGGGCTCAAAGGTAAAAGAAAACACAGAAATCCTGACATAATGTTTATTGGAATATTAATTATTAACAATGTTTGGTCTTTGGACATTATTTGCAATATGCAAACAAACAGTGCCTTACAGTATTTGTATCTTTCATCCTGTTTTATAAGAAACCATCAAAAGTAACTTCCCAAAAAAATTGGTAACTCTTTTAATATAATTTGTAATTCTGTTAAATATTATTCATAAAAGTAGAAACTAATTACAATAAATTGGTGAATAATCCTCACATCCCATAATTTTTACTTGTGTCTCCCTTTGGAGGGAAGATTTGAACATAATCATTGGCCCAGACCTATACCTCCAGCACTTGGGAAGGCTGAGGTGAGCGGATCACTTGAGACCAAGAGTTCAAGACCAGCCTGGCCAATGTGACAAAACTCTGTCTCTACCAAAAATACAAAAATTCGCCATGCATGGCGGTACATGCCTGTAATCCCAGCTACTCAGGAGGCTGAGGCAGGAGAATCATTTGAACCCAAGAGACAGAGGCTACAGTGAGCTGAGATTACACCACTGTACTCCAGTTTGAATGAGCCATAATTAACACCTCTGAGGAATCCACACCAATATCTGTTGGGTTTTTTCACATTTTAGGAATAGCCATTCTTACTGGTGTAAAATGATATCTTGATGTGTGTTGTTACGTGTTTCATAACTGTACATTAAATGAAATGGCTTATATTTTCACGTCAAAAAGAAGATTTGCAGAATGGGTTTTTAGAAATCCAAGATGCAACGATATGTTCTGAACTAGAAACTCACTTCAGCTGAGAACATAGCGTGAACATGAAAGGCAGAAATAGGTATTTTATGAAAACAGTAACCAAAGAAGATTTGTGACAGCTATACTAAAGTCAGAAACACACCAAATGTAGTCAAAAAGTCTGACCGAGATAAAACATAGGCGCATTTTATATAAATTAAAGGTGAGGTTCCAGACCACCAACATAAAGCAAATACCATAATAAAATGAATCACATAAATTTTTTTATTTCAACTATACATAAAAATTATGGGCCGGGTGTGGTGACTCAAGCCTGTAATCCCAGCACTTTGGGAGGCCGAGGCGGGTGAATCACAAGGTCAACAGATCGAGACCATCCTGGTCAACATGGTGAAACCCCGTCTCTACTAAAAATTACAAAAAAATTAGCTGGGCACGGTGGCGCGTGCCTGTAATCCCAGCTACTCAGGAGGCTGAGGCAGGAGAATTGCCTGAACCCAGGAGGCAGAGGTTGCGGTGAGCCGAGATCATGCCATTGCACTCCAGCCTGGGTAACAAGAGCGAAACTCCGTCTCAAAAAAAAAAAAAATTATGTTTGCACCATTCTTTAATATATTTAGTTGAGCAATAGTATGTCTAAGGAAACAATGCACATACCTTAATTTAAACATTTTTTGTTGTAAAATACTAACAATTATCTGAACCTTCAGCAGGATGTAATCTTTTTGCTGCTAGAGAGTATTCCCTCACTATAGATTGCTGCTGACTGATCAGGGTTATGGTTGCTGAGTCCTGAAATGGCTGTGGCAATTTCTTAAACAAAATACAACAATGAAATTTGCCTCATTGGTTGACTTCTTTCGTGACAGACTTCTCTGTAGTGTGCAATGTTGTTTGACAGCATTTTACATGGTGTAGAACTTCTTTGAAAGTTGAAGTCAGGTCTCTGTGATCCAGCCACTCTTTCATCAATTATCTTTTCCTAATAAATCCTTGGTTGTCATGGAAGCAACATTCACGCATGTTCACCATCCACAATGGTTATGAAAAGGGTAGATTTCAACCCAAGAAACAACTTTTTGTGCATTTATATGAAAGAACTCTTAAGTTTTTAAAGTTTTATCATGAGATTACAATTCAGTCACATATTTAGGCTCTACTTCTCACTCTCTTTCTCTTGCTAATTTCATCACATCTGCAGTTACCAAATCCTTAGCCCCCTTAAAATAATCCATGCGAGTTCTAATTAACTGTTTCTGAACTTCCGTTCATGTTGATATTTTGACATTTTCTTATGAATGACAAGTGTTCGTGATGGCATTCAGAATGCTGAATTCTTCCCAGAGGGCTTTCCATTTACTTTACCTGATTCATCACAAGAATCACTGTCTGTAGCAGCTATAACTGATTGAAATGTATTTATGAACAACAAGATTTGAAAGTTAAAATTGGTCTTTTATCCATGTACTGAAGAATAAATATTGTGAAGCAGTCATAAAAACAAAAATAATCTTTCTAACCCCTGCATTAGAACTATTTGTTAACAAGGTGCACTGTCATTGAACAGTAATTTTTTAAAGGAATCTCTTTTTCTTTTTGAGCAGTACATTTCAATACTGCTTTCTATTTTAAACAGTAGACTCAAAATATTCATTAACCATGCTACAAAAGAGCTATGCTGTAAGACAGGCTTTTTTACTCTATTTATAGAGCATGGTTTTGAAATCATAAAAAAGCATTGGTTTCATCTTGAAATCACCAGGCACATTAGCTCCTAACAAGAGAGTCAGCCTGTCTTTTGAAGCGAGGCATGGACTTCCTTCTAGGTATAAAAGTCCTAGGTGGCACCCTTTTTGATATAAGGCCCTTTCATCTACATTTAAAATCTACTGTTTATTGTAGTCACTTTCATTAATGATCTTACATAAATCTTCTGGTTAACCTGCTGCAGATTCTCCATCAGAACTTGCTGCTTTATTTTGCACTGTTATGTTATGGAAATGGCTTATTTTATTCAGCCTCATTAACCAACCTCTACCAGATTCCAACGTTTTCTCCACAGCATCCTCACCTCTATGAGCCTGCATACACTTGAGGAGAGTTAAGGTCTTCTTCTGGATTGGGCTTTGGCTTAAGAGAATGTTGTGGCTGGTTGATCTATCCATATCGTTAAAATTTCTCCTTATCAGCAATAAGGCTGTTTAGGGTTTTAATCATTTTGTATTCACTGAAGTAGGATTACAGTTTCCTTAAAGAACTTTTCCTTTGCATTCACAACTTGGCTAATAACTAACACAATAGATCTAGCTTTCAGCCTGCCTCAGCCTTCAACATATATTCCTCAATAAGCTTAATCACGTGTAGCTTTTGTGCTTAAGCGAAAGATGTGCTATTCTTTCTTTCGCATGAACATTTAGAGGCCATTGTAGCGTTACCATTTGACCTGGTTTTAATACTGTTGTGTCTTAGGGTATAGGAAGGCCTGAACAGGGGGAAAGAGATAGGGGAACCACCTGTCACTGAAGCAGTCAGAAGGCACACAATTATCAATTGCATTCACTGCTGTACATGGGTACAGTTTGGGGTATCCCAAAACAAGTATAATATAACATCAAGATTACAGATCGGAGATTACCATCACCGATATAATAATACAGTGAAAGTCTGAAATATTGCAAAAATTACTGAAATGTGGGGAAAAGGCACAGAGTGAACACATGCTATTGGACAAATGGTGCTAACAGGCTTGCTCAATGCAGGGTTGCTACAAATGCTGAATTCTTATAAAAAATTCAATATCTTTGAAGGACAAAAAAAGTGAATCATAACAAAATGAGGTATACTATCTTCATGAATGGGTCAATTTATAAAGAATATATCAAGCGTAATGGTTAATTTTAGGTATCAACTGGATTGGATTAAGTGGCATGCCAATACCTGGTCGGGTATTATTTCTGGGTATATCTGTGAGGATTACTCTGGATCATATTGACATTTGAAACTACGGACCAACTGAAAAACATTTTCCCTCACTCAGTGTGGGAAACAACCCTTCTGTCGGCTGAGGTTTCTGATAAAGAAGCAGAGGAAAGGTGAGCTCGCTTTCTCTCTTCTGAAGCTGGGACACTCATCTTTTTCTACCCCTGGACATCAGAATTCCAGGACTTCTGATCTTTGAACTCTAGGTCTTTGACAAGTGGCCCCCAGCTTCTCAGGCTTTTAGTCTAAGACTGGGGGATACTTTGATGACTCCCCTGATTTCAGGCCTTCACAGTTGGAAGAGGCCATGGCACTGGAATTCATGGTTCTACAGGTTGTGGTAGCAATTTTCAGAAAACAAAATGGAAATGAGGCAATCCCTCAAATATATTCCTGCTCCTACGTTTATGTAGATAGATAGACTTCATAGATTCACCTATGAGATGACACACACGCACATATATACATGTATATATATATGGATCTCACATATACTACATATATTATTATATACCTAGAATGTATATTCTAATATAAATATATAATATGTAGTCTAATATAAACATATATTAGATATATATTTAGATATAAATATTTAGTCATATATATCTATATCTACATATATACATTTTAGATTTGTATTTCTTCAGAGAATTGTAACCATATTGATTCTGACAGCAGAAGTGGTTCTAAAGGAACAGAATCTATACTGAGTTTTCTGAATTCATTTTGGGGTTTATGGAACGACCACTCTAACCTAATCAAACTTGAATATACTAAAGACTCTATTTCCAATAATATAGAAAGTACTGTTTACAATATGAACTGTTTTTGGAGATGCATAAACTATCCACATTACCATACTCCACAATTCATGAAACGCCAGGAAATTCGTGACTCTATATATGATGCTTTTGAATAGTTATGGAAAACTATTCAATATAATGACCCAATCTATGGGTTGTCTGTTTACTCTGCCATTTTTTTTTTTTTTTTTTTTTGGCCATGCAAAAGCTCTTTAATTAGGTCCCAGATACTTATCTTTGCTTTTATTGCATTTACTTTTGGGCTCTTGGTCACGAAATCCTTGCCTAAGCCAGCGTCTAGAAGGGGTTTTCCAATGTTATCTTCTAGAATTTTTGTAGTTTCAGGTCTAAGGTTTAAGTCCTTAATTTATCGTGAGTTGATTTTTTTATAAGGTGAGAGATGAGGACCCAGTCTCATTCTCCTACCTGTCGCTAGCCAGTTATCCCAGAACCTTCGTTGAAAAAGGTGTCTTTTTTCCCCACTTTATGTTTTGTTTGCTTTGTCAAAGATCAGTTGGCTGCATTTGGGTTTATTTCTGGGTTTTCTGTTCTGTTCCACGGGTCTATGTGCCTATTTTTGTACCAAAACAGTACCATGCTGTTTTGGTGACTATGGCCTTATAGTATAGTTTGAAATCAGGTAGTGTGATGCCTCCAGCTTTGCTCTTTTTGCTTAGTCTTGCTTTGGCTATGCAGGCTCTTTTTTGGTTCCATATACATTTTAAAATCATTTTTTCTAATTCTATGAAGAATGATGGTGGTATTTTGATGGTGATTGCATTACATTTGTAGATTGCTTTTGGCAGTATGGTCATTTTCACAATATTGATTCTACCCATCCGTGAGCATGAGATGTGTTTCCATTCGTTCATGTCGTCTATGATTTCATTCAGTAGTGTTTGTAGTTTTCCTTGCAGAGGTTCTTTTGAGTCCCTGGTGAGATATATTCCTAAGTATTTCTTTTTTTTCTTTTTTTCTTTTTTTTGGCTATTGTGAAAGGGGTTAAATTATTTATTTGATTCTCCATTTGGTCGCTGTTGCTGTACAGAAGAGCCACTGATTACATCAATCTTGTATACAGAAACTTTGCTGAATGATTTTATCAGTTCTAGGAGCTTTCTGAAGGAGTCCTTGGGGTTTCAAAGGATCACATCATCAGTGAACGGTGACACTGAGAATTCAGCATATGGTTTGGAGGGTCAGATATGCCAATTACAGCATTATACCCTTGGCCCATGAACCTCACATCTTTCTTACATGCAAAATGTAACCATTTCATCCCAATAGTTCCAAAAACTTGTAACTTGGTCCAGCACCAACTTAAAATTCCAAACTACAAAAGTTCATCTCAGATTCAAGGTTCTTGCCAGTTTTGAGCCTGTGAAGTCAAAAACAAGTTATTTACTTTCAAAGTACAACAATATAATCAGTTGTGGGTAAACATTACTTTTCCAAAAGGAAAAAAATAAAAAAAGGAAAAAAAGGTGTGCGTAAGGTCAGGGGAAACAGGACCTACAGAAGTCAGAATCCCAGCAAGGCAGACATTAAACCTTAGAGCTCCAAATAATTTCTGTTGATTTTACATCCTGCATCCTGGGCACCTGGTGCAAGGGTCAGCTCTCGAGTATTTAGGCAGCCCTGTCCCCATGGCTTTGCTGGGCACACCCCATGTGGCTGCTCTCACAGGTTGGAATTCTATGCCTGTGGCTTTTCCAGGCAGAAGTTTCAAGCTGCCAATGGCTATGTGATTCTGGGGTCTGGAGGTCTGTGGTCCTGCTCCCAGGTCTCCACTGGGCAGAAACTCCATGGAAATTTCTGACCCCACATCTCTTCTTAGCATTGCCTAAGTAGAGAATCTAGGTGGGGCCTCCACCCCTGCATTAGGCTTCTCCCTGGATCGATGAAGGTGCCATGTCTCAACTACTCTTGTACCACAGAGAGATCAAGCTAGAAACTCCCATCCTCTTTTTGTTTCTTTCTACTTAGCATTTCCTCCAATGACCAGGTTTGAAGCCTCTGGCTTCACAAGGCTCAAGGGACTAGATGGCTGCTATGTCAGGGCTTCTGCCTGAAGAGTGTGGGTTCGTGGGGTTGACAAGAATTTAAACTTTTCCCAGACTGTATAAAATCTCAGGGAACTGCTCAGTTGTACAGGGGATATAGAGAAGGGGAGAAGCAGGGAAGAAGGAAAGTAAGAAAAAGAAGTGGGGAGGAGAGATGCAGGTGTCCTTGAGTCAGCAATAACACACATGTGCCTCAAATAAGTAATTGACCTTATTGTACACCAAAAATAACTGAGGCAGATATCAATCTATTAGAGGTTTAATTTGGCAAGGTTGAGGACAGACCCCAGAAAGAAAAATGCAAGTCACAGTAAGATCTTTAGTTTTTTCAAAGAGGATTTTGGGAGCTTCACTATCTAAAGGGTAAATATCTAAAGAACAGATATTTGAGGATTAAGAAAAAGCAGGGCAGGTATACAATGAGGCAAGTGGTTACACTCTTGCAAGCCTCTGATTAGTGCTCACTGAATCTACATCTTACATTGGAAAAGAAAGCAGTAGAGAAAAAATTCAACTGTGCATTTGTCTTTCACTCAGTAAATCTACATTTTACATACGATATAGTAGCATGTAAAATTACAGCTATTTGTTTGGAAATAAAAGGAAGGCAGCTTTTGGATGACTCCATTCCCAAGCTTAACTTTCCTTCTGGCGTAGTGAATTTGGTGTCCAGAGAATACATTTTTCCTTCTTTCCTTTCCTAGGAAGGCTCATTCCTAGATCACGTCCTGGGTTGCTAGGAAGGCTAATTCCTAGGGGGTTGTGAAGTCTTGTGTCGTATGGAAGAAAATATGGACGGAAAGAAATAAAAAATAGAAAAAAAGATACCAAGGTCAGATCATAACGAGAAAAGGAACACAGTCCTGGAAAACAGATTTAGTCTTTACTACTAAAAACTCTACGGGCAGTAAGTACAAATATATATATAGCTGTTACAGATATTTAAATGTTTGGTGATTCCGAGTAAAGAAAGTAGGAGAAATAAATGGACACATAATTTTGTTGACTTGTAGGCAGAAAATAATTTAGAATTCAGACCAGATAAATTGTAGGCAAGTGATAAAAACTGAGAAACAATGGACAAGGGTAGAAGCTAAAAACAGGTGTACCATAGTTTCTTTATTTTTTTTTTTAGGAATCTGGCTCTGTCACCAGGCTGGAGTGCAGTGACTTGACCTCAGCTCACTGCAACCTCCCACTCCCTGGTTCAAGTGATTCTCCTGCCTCAGCCTCCTGAGTATCTGGGATTACAGGTATATGCCCACCACGCCCAGCTAATTTTTGTATTTTTAGTAGAGATGGAATTTCACCATGTTGGCCAGGATGGTCTCAATCTCCTAACCTTGTGATCTGCCCACCCTGACCACCCAAAGTGCTTGGATTACAGGCATGAGCCACCACTCTCGACCACTATAGTTTCTTTTGAAACTTTTTTTTTTCCAGTCCCTGGTTTTTACCAAAGACAAATAATGAGAGAATGAATTTATTTGCAAAACATGTCTTAGTCTTATTATTCTCGACATGATTATTTGCATATCTCGCAGCAAGAATAATTATTGGTCAATAGGCTCTTTATAAATTGGCTTTGCTGAAGCTATTTAAAAGAATCTCAGATTAGACTTTCAAAGACCTTTCTATTTCAGCCAAAAATATATCTGTGCCTTCAGATACCTGAAATTGGAATTTATTTTGTTTACCAAGGAAAAGCTGGTGTGGAGGGGTGTGTAGGACAGCACTTAATATAATGACTCAACAGTGGTTTAGCCCCAGTTTATGTTCACCCAACTCAGAGAGTGAGGACATCTGATGTGCTAAGCCAGTGTCCACTGTAATGAGAGGTTGGATGAGTGAAGCCCAAAGGAGCCCAGCTGTGCCATCTGTGCTATCCCAGGCACCTCTCTCTCGTTGGGCTGAGGGGTACATATGGGACACCCTCCCCTGCAGAGGTAAGGTTTTCCATTGTATCTCTGCAGTCTGTGGTAACTCAACATTCTTGAGGACCCTAATGGTTCAGGGCCTCCACTCAGGAACACAAGCACTGAGAAATACAGGCCAATGTCCTCAACTGTCAAGGGTAGAGGAAGTGAGATGATTGAATCTAAAACCCCCTTAAGGCTGGGGGACAAGGACAGACAGAAAATCTTGGTACAGTCACTCGATTGTGAATGAGACTCATAAGAGATTTAGCAATCCTAGGCACCTCTCTCAGGAAGAACCCAGGAAACAAAGCTAGAATGAGATATTCAGGTGCCTCCAACAGTGAAAAAACAGTCTTGAGCGTGACAAGGAAAAACAAAACTGACCTTCATAGCGAATGGTACGTGAATCATGAAGAGATCTACACAGTGCAGTCCAAGTTTCTTCAGTGACCTTTCCGGGGCTGGGCGAACGTATTCTGGCTGAAAGAAAGTAGCCCAAGGCTGCAGTGGCCAAAAGAAACAAAGTGGATTATAATTTCACACATTTGGGGACCAAAATTAAACTTCATGGTCAGACATTGAGATGTGAGTCTCAAAACCCTGTGGTCTAAAGCCGAAAGAGCTGGGGCTAAATATATGCTACTCAGTGTAAATCAGGTCATTGATGGGACACTGAGATTTCCTTGAATTATGGCAATGGAAGAAATCTGTGACTAAAACTAAGATGGGGCAGGAAAACCAACTTTAACTATCAAGGGTTAGAGGAGTCATCCACTGAAATGAGTCAAGAAATGGCAGGACAGGGAGAACAGAGTCTCTTGTCCTGCATGATAAATTCCTAGGAAGATTCTTCTGAGAGACTCACATGCTCCAAAGAAGTTGTTATTGATATAAACAGACACAGGGTGCATCTTGGAGACCTCAGCTGTTTACATTGGAAGCATGGATTTCCAGCTGGGACAATTTTAGAAAGTTCAGAAAACTCAATGCTTATTTGAGAAAAAGTATTTTCTTGTCTGGCTCCCTTTTCTGAATAATATCTGACCTTTCTTGATATGTCCTGAGAGCCTCTACTGAAAAATTGAAGGAGTGGAGCTTTAGTGGCTTGGTTAATCTACACAACAGTTAAGGGAGATAAGTATCATTATTTCCATTTTATATATGAATGCTGTCTGATGCTCAGAGACACTGAAGAACTGTGTTCTACTAGTCACATATTTCACAGTAAGCAAGTCATTTCCGTTTCTCTTTCTATAATGTCCCTTCACAATATTAGGAGGCAAATAAAGAATTCAACTTAGACCATATTTTCCTTTCGAAATAACGTATCTGAACTGACGGTGGCCTCTGGGCACTGCACACACAGAACTTTCACCTTGGTGGTGTAGAATACGTCCTCTCTCTTTGTGATACCATCAGTAATCTTCTCTCAGACGGCTTGTCCAACCTCCTCCTCATTTTGGTACAAGTATGCTGAATCAATATGGCAGAAGCCTACATCAAGAGCCACTTTGGTGGCCTCGGCAGCCTGGCTTTTGGAAATCTACAAGACAGGAGTAAGAAGAGTTGATGATCTACCCAACTCAGAGAAAATCAATGCATTTTCCCAACAGCATTTTCACCGACAGTTTCCTGCTGGCCTCTTTCTCCAATTTTGATGATGCAGTTTCAGTGATAGACCTGTACTCTGAGGACGCTGACTAAACTCCAGCATAACTTCTATTCCCAAATAAATTAGAGAAATTGGCTTCACCCTGGAGCATGGAAAAAAAATCACATCTCATTCCATATGAATCAATTGTAAAAATGTAATATAACATATGTTAGACATACCTTATACTTAGGGGATAAAATGGATAATTGAAAAGCAACTGGCCCCATCTGACAGCTGTTTTCTATTGAGGTCTCATGTTATAGTTCTACAAAGATTAAGCACTTGTTCAGTCATTTTTTAGAGCAATTCTTGCAAAGCAACCCCAAAGCTGGCCTTACCTCACAAGGCCCAGAGAGTGACACTTCAATTTTCCTGCAATCAACTGAGTGGATGGCTGAATAGTGTATTTCGTGAGATGCACAATCTAGTCCCTATTGGACGTTATACCTCCTAAGTCTTCCCTTCTATTTTCTAATGAGTGGAATTGAGAGAAAAAACTTAGTCAGTTAGGGCAGGTTCTTGGTAAAACTCCTTTAAACAGAGAAATGGTCTGAAAAAATAAGGCTGCCGACACAGATGAGGAAACTTATTCAAGTCTCTGGCCTTCTCGGATAAAAGAACAAGACACAAAAACGCCTTTGTCCTTTATGCCTAAGACATGCCCACAACTACACTAATAAGAGAACAAAACCCAGCATAGAAATGCCTTTGTCCTTTGTAGAATCAACAGGTTTCTAGAAAACAGTCTCTTCGCCTTTTGTGGACGTGTACACTGGGGGCTACGGTGGATTCTAGTGGGCACTTTCCTTTCCTTTTTTGGACATGCTTTTGACTGTGAGCTGACCCTCTAAGAATCATCACTTCAGCCTCTGATTGCTCCCAGCCAGGCTTGGACCAAGGTCCTGGACAAAACTTCCCCTTCAGTCTCTAAGTGGTCCTGGGCCTAGGTCCAAGGCAAGGTTGAGTAACATTCTCCAAGTCCAGTCGACACATTCCTTTTCTTCCCAGTTAAAAACACCCAGACCCAACCTCACAGTTGACAACCCATTCAGGCCCCCTGTCTACTACAGAGAGGTTTCTTCTTTCACTTATTAAACTTGCCTTCTAACCTCACCCTTTGTGTCCACATCCCTTAATTTTCTTGGTTGTAAGTCAAAAAAGGTTGGCTGATACCTAACGAGAGACTACTACGTTTTTGGTACATTGCTGAGACGGTAAAATATTTCTGGTGCATCGGCTGGGAATGGGTTCACAGGAAGGGTAAGCAGGAGCTGACCTCCAAAGTCTTTACTTTCACTTCAGTTTTATTTTTCTATCAAGAGCAAATGAGACGCTGGGTTCCTGTCAGTGAGTAGGGCGGCTGCCAGCGTTACAACTCAGGGGACAGGCTTCCTGAAGGGGACGTTTTCAATCCCCATCATCCTCAGGTATTTGGAATGTTAACTCTGTTCTCCAGTTTCCTTTCGTGGAAGCCCTCACTGTCACATGCAGCTGAAAAGATGCCCTAAGACAACTGAAAGTCTCTGGCGGAGGCTACACCTCAGTGTTACCTGAAGGCCCCTGGACTGGCTCCAGTTCCCAAGCGCCTGTCAGGGCGTTGGCACCAGAACTTCCAGCATTTCCTGCTGCATTTTCCTCCTTTTTCATGGCTCTCATGTCTTCCAGTGCTTCTTTGTATACAATGTGACAGCATGTTTACAAACTGTGGATATATTCCTGTGCCTAAACTCAGCAGGTGTTGTAGTAATCAGGAGTGTAATTCAAATACGTACTGGTTTTCTGATTTCCTAGAAATGTAAAGGGGAATTTAACATTTCTGTCTAAATTTTCACCCTGAGATCAATAATCCAATTAAAAGACTGACAAACAGAAAATCTTACCACGACTAGGTCTTCTGACTATATAGTCACATATATGTTATGCATGTGCTAGCTATAAAAAAAAGAACTCTAATTAATTGACCTAAAAAAATCAACACCACCAAATATTCTGAAGGAAAAGTAAAAGCCATAATGCCTCTTAGTTCACATGACTTTAATCTTTAACAAATAAAAAGTCTTAAAAAGTATTGGTAAAAGACAAATGTCTTCAAGATATAAACATGTGGTCTAAATTACACAAGTCATATACTAAATTTACTAAGTATTTTAAGATGGAAAATGACTTCTTTGACCTTTAAAAACTGTTAGACTGCCTACTTCACAATTAATAAGACCTGAGGACATATGGAAATAACCACACCTGTAACTATACTAGAAAAAGTCAGACTTTATGCCTAATACATAATTACAACAACTTACCAGGTTTTATATTAAAGATTACTAAAGATTAACATTGTGACATATAATTGGGACTTCTATAAATAAATTCACATGCAAAGTATATGAAAACAGTAAAATATGTTTTTTATAAAAAGACATAAATATATGAATTTTGGCTAGGAATAATATCCTAGTTCTGAACAATTGCCCTGCAAATCCTACCAGGTCATAAGAATAAATAGAATACTCATAACCCAGAGGTTTCTTTATTTGAGAAAAGAAGGCCAAAAAACTAACCAAAACCAAGCTTTCATACTCCCAAACCTTAACAGAGATAAGCATAACCACCAATTATCAGGACATACCAACAACCGCAGAATTTTTAAACTATCCTTATGCCCCCTTGTTTCATTTTAATACATATACTCTAATAGCCCAAATTATTTCTTCCCACCTAAAAACTATCGAACTCTGAATAATAATACTAATAACACTACACATAAACATACCTTTCTTCCAAGGACCCTTAAACCAACCCCAAGAAAAACTCTAACTACTATTCCCCACCTGACACCACCCTCCAAGAAGAAATAGCCAGAAAAGACAACACCAGTCTCCCTAACAACAATGAGGGACTCCACTCCTTAGGGTAAAAATGAGAGAAAAAAGTTAAACAGTTAGAGTGAGTTCTTGGTAAAACTCCTTTGAACAGAGAAACAGCCTAAAAAAAATCAGACTACACACGCAGATAAGGAAACTTACACAAAACCCTGGCTCACTCAGGTAAAAACAAGGCCCAACATAAAAACACCTTTGTCTTTTCTGCCTAATACATGCCAACAACTGCAGTATTCAGAGAACAAGACCCAACAGAGAAACGCGTTCGTCCTCTGTAACGAACACACTTCTAGAAGCGCTTCCCCTTTTGTGGTCATGTACACAGACTCTGGTGGGTACTTTCCTTTCATTCTGAGGACATGTGAAGTATGAGATGAGCCTTTACGAAACATCACATCAGCATCTGATTGCTCCTGGGCCAAGGTCCCAGGCCAAGATTTCACTTCAACTCCTGGTTAGTCCTGGACCAGGGTCCTGGGCCAAACTTTCACTTCGGTGTCCGATTGACCCCAAACCAAGGTCCCAGGCCAAGCTGAATTACACCTTCTCCAAGACCAGTCAACACATTCTTTCCCTTCCCTGTCCGTCAAACCTGAGACCTGAGCTCATAGTTAGCAATCCATACCGGCCTCCTCTCTGCTACAGAAAACTGTCTTCCTTCACTTAATAAATTTTAACTCCACCCTCACCCTTCGTGTCCAGAATCCTTCATTTTCTTGGTCATAAGACAAAAAACTTCTGGTCATACCTCAAAATGAAAGACTACTACATTTTTAACATACTGATGGTCCTGTAACAGAATCACAGTGGCTTCTTATATGACAGAAGTTTAGATGGTTGAAACTCTCTGCCAAATACTTCCAGCACCAACAACCTCACGGCAAAGCTGCCACTAAGTATTTACTTCGGCTTTTCACCCCCTCGGGCCCTTGGCCCTTCACGTTTCTAACCAAGAGCAGAGTGACTCTGACCAGAGCAGAAGGTGAGAGCAGCCTGAGCTTGGACTTTTAAAATGCAACAAATTTTACTGAGTACTTACCTAGGCCAGTTGTTAAGGAATTAGGTAAAATAATGCATGTAAAACACATAGAAAGCATTTGATATGTTAGGTAACATTGACATTTTTAATAGTAAGAAAGATAATATACCCACAAAATTATCAATCTCAGAATCCCCATAGTCAATAGTTTGCTGTGCTACTTAGTACAAAAATCTCTGTGACCTTGGAGTCAGTTAAATGGAAGCCCAGATGAGCCTTTCCAAGCTTCCGCTGTCTACCAGGTGCTGGTCTGAAATGAAACGAAAAATTACTACATGTACAAATACAGCTGACCTAACAAACCTCAGACCCCCTGGGGTCCACTTATGTGATCGGGAGCGTAAGTGCCACACCCCAGCTTTCGAAGGAAGTGTCCATCATTCAGCCTCACAGAATGGCTTTGCTTTAGAGCCGTCATCGTCCCCAGCTAATCTGTCTTTCCTCCTTTTCCTCACTGACAGCCCAGTGGGAAACAAAGCTTCTGTATTCTTTTTTTTTTTTTTTAATTTTTTATTGGATTTTAGGTTTTGGGGTACATGAGCAGAGCATGTAAGACAGTTGTGTAGGAACACACATGGCAGTGTGCTTTTCTTTCCTTCTCCCCTTCACCCACATTTGGCATTTCTCCCCAGGCTATCCCTCCCCACCTCCCCCTCCCACCGGCCCTCCCCTTTTCCCCCCAAAAGACCCCAGTGTTTAGTACTCCCCTTTCTGTGTCCATGTGTTCTCATTTTTCATCACCCGCCTATTAGTGAGAATATGCGGTGTTTCATTTTCTGTTCTTGTGTCAGTTTGCTGAGGATGACGTTCTCCAGATTCATCCATGTCCCTACAAACGACACAAACTCATCATTTCTGATTGCTGCATAATATTCCATGGTGTATATGTGCCACATTTTTCCAATCCAGTCTATTATCAATGGCATTTTGGTTGATTCCAGGTCTTTGCTATTGTAAACAGTGCTGCAATGAACATGTATTCTTTATTTGCCCCAAATACAAGTGGGCAGGTTGAAGATGACAGCCGCCAATGATTTAGAAATGAAGCTGGAGTCAGGCCAGATCCTTTTCTGTGATTCTTGTCTGTCTCTCTGGGAGTATTTTCAGGACCCTCATTCAATGCTGTGAATGCCAGAGGACTTTGATTTTCTCCTCTGTGTTGTTCAAACTTGATTCTTTAGTTGAAAGATTAACCATACCAATTTGTCCTTGATAAGTATACTAGACTTCCTTTACAAGATGCAAAGTTATGAGGGTGGTCATTTCAAAAAACTAATTCTGGGCCGGGCATGGTGGCTCACACCTGTAATCCCAGCACTTTGGGAGGCCGAGGTGAGTGGATCACGAGGTCAAGAGATCGAGACCATTCTGGTCAACATGGTGAAACCCCGTCTCTACTAAAAATACAAAAAATTAGCTGGGTATGGTGGCGCGTGCCTGTAATCCCAGCTACTCTGGAGGCTGAGGCAGGAGAATTGCCTGAACCCAGGAGGCGGAGGTTGCGGTGAGCCGAGATCACGCCATGGCACTCCAGCCTGGGTAACAAGAGCGAAACTCCGCCTCAAAAAAAAAACTAATTCTACTACAGGACTGAAGTTAACTTTCTCACCTATATTTGATTACTAATTCCTTTGAAAACCGCTTATTAGAATTCCTTGAATAAAGCCTGATGTCTGGCGCCAGTCACACACGTAATGAAATTTCTTAGGAACACCCTCCTGTGTCCAACCCCACCCCATTTTTTCTGATTTGCTTCCTCAAATGTTTTGCAGGAAAAACCTGTCTGAGATCACGGATACATTTTGTGCTCTTGCTTTTGTTCCAGCCATGGCATCTTTCTACAACAGCCTGCTCAACTCCCTCCTGGTCTCCTGCAGGCTTCTGATCTCCGACTTATCCCAGATGCACCTGCTACAGCCTAACATCATTTATGACTCCTTCTTCTCATTGCTGTTTTTTGTTTGTTGGTTGGTTTTGAACAAAGATAGGAGATAGCAAAGCGGCCTGGCTCTTAACAGAACAACTTGGAATTCCAGGGCCTCAACTGCTTTTGTAAACATGAACACACACACAGCAACCATGAGATAATGAAAACTAAACATGGCATCCAATTCAGAACACCAGGAGGCTCAGCCTAAATGGCCTCCTGCGTAAGTCACCTTGGACACTTGCATCCTCTGTAGATGAGGGCAGCAGGTCTAGACGAAGGTTAATACCTTGAAGGGTTCAAAATAACTGACTTTGAAACAGCAGAGTCACCAGTTGTTGCTAAAAACACCTCTTTTTAAAATTTTAAGTAATAAGTTTAATTATCACATTATGAAGTATTACAAAAAGAGAAGATGACTTATTCAATAACCTCCCTGGATGAGGTTGACCAGCCTTCTCCTTATTCTCTTAGCTCCTACAAAGCAGGCCATAAAAACCACATCATTGAAATTACACTCTGCACTAATAAGTGGAGAGCTAGAGAAGACGCCTAAGTGGTATTTTCTTTCATGTGTCTATTATGCTGTGCTTTCTCCCACCTGTATTTGTTAGAAGTCATCCTGAAACATGACATTGTCATTTATCTTATTCTGAACCCATAGTTCCGGCTGGGCAAGATCCAAATTCTGCCTGATTCTGATTCCCTATAGTTTATATTTATTCCAACATTGTATCAGCTCTAAATTCGGTAAGTATACTGCTTATATTACATTGGTAAAACTGTTGAATTTCCTACAGAGATGGGGTTAAGTTCTGTGCCAAGTCACAAGAAAAGCATGTCTTCATTGATGGTAATAGCCTGAAGCTCATCATGCAGTAGATTAAAAATCTGTCAACATGTTTGCAGTATTAACCTGTATTTTGTACTAAATGGTTTGCTAAACTAAGAGACATTATTTCTCTCTCATTTCCCTAATTGGGCAGTCTAGGAAATGTGTCAGTGAAAGAGAATGGGCCGATTTCATTCTTAGCAAATTTAAAGCAAGGCCTCATGCTCCCTGCCCCTCTTCTCATAACACTTGCATTAAGCATTATCCTGAAATATTTATAGATTCGACGTCAGGCTTTGTAGCAAACACTTTTCAGAATCCATCTTCCCTCTGTAACTGGAAAGGTGTTTGTCGTCCCCTGGAACTATTTTTACTTCCTCCGGTTTTCAAAGACTACCAAGGAGATGAGACTCTCAGGGAGCTCACGGCTATTGGATAACAGGTGGCAGATGGCAAGTTCTTTCCCCACGAGGCCTGCCTCCTGGTACTGTGCCCTTGTGTAACACCCTCTCATCAACTGTGGCTGGTACTTGTGTCTTTATTCTAAACAATTGACTATTGTAAGGAAGTGTGATATTATTTCCACCATTAGGAAATACAAAATTGTAATTTTCATTGTGCAGGAAACTCTACTGTTTTCTCTGTTTTCAAACTTTGATAATATTGGTGGCAATGTAGGAGAGGCTCACATGGAGAGGAACTGAGTGGGGCCTCTGGTCACCAGCCAGCTAGAAACTGAGGTTTTCATTCCAACAGTCCAGACAAAACTAAATCCTGCCAGTTCACCCCAAACCTTGGAAGCAGGTTATGCCCCTCTAAGCCTTCAGGGAGACCCTGCTTTAGGCTTATGCCTTTTCTGCAGCCCTTTGAGGATCTGAGCAGAGCTACTAGCTCAACTCTACGTGGCTGCACACAGGTCACTACAACCTTAGCAACATGAAACCCACACAAGGGGAGAAAGTGCAAATGGCAATTCTAATACAGCACCATGCACCCAAGGAGGCAGAAGGACACGTGCAACTCTGTAAGATGGGGAGGAAGCAGTGTCAGAAAATATGTTGCAATGGCCTCCAAGGAACATATTCAAAAATTATATGAAAGTGTATTTCATTCAAAAGTAAATATTTAGTGAGTATCTATAGTGTGCAAGATACTGTTGTAGGCAATAAAAAGAGAGAAAAATCTAAGCCCTCATTGAGCTCACTTTCAAAAAGAGAGAAGCAGACAAAAAAGTATTAAGTATATAGAATGAGAACCACGTGGTATGATGAAAGCCCTGGCAGGGAAAGAGTGCAGGGACAAATGAGATTACAAATAGCATAAACAGGGAATCCTCACTGAGACAGACACATCTGAGGGAAAACCTGAAGGAGCGGAGGAAGCCAGCCTTGCTGACAGCTGGGGAAGAGGGCTTCAGGCAGAGAGATCTGAAGAGCACAGTCCCTGCAGCAAGGGCAGGCCAGGCGTGTTCTGGGGACAGCAGTATTCGGAAAGAGGTCAGAAAGGAAGGGAGGGCCATGTTTAGGCAGAGCCCCGCAGGCCACTGAAAGAAGTTGGCTTTTACCCTAGGACAGATGAGGAGACACTGGACGAAACTGAGCTGCTGTGTGGAGAGTAGAATGCAGGTTGGTAAGGGATAAAATGGAAAACTAGTTAGGAGGCTACTTAATAACCAGTTTCTTAGAAGAGATTTGTGGTGTTCATGAAATGAGGAAACCACCTAACAACACATTTCTTCCAACGTCCCCATTGTGAAGTTACAGTACCTGTATGAAATGACATGGAGTTAGCTTTTTCATTTTTTTGTCCATGTTTCCTTTTGTCTTCCATATGTTTCATTACTATATTTTTGTGTTTGTATGATTTTTGAGTGATATTTGAATTTTCTTCTCATTTTCTCTTGTTTATATTCTGTAGTTATTATCTTTGTAGTCACATGGAGATTATATACAACATCCTATAATCACACAAATCTTTGGACTCAATACTCCTTTAACTTCAATTTCCTAAATAATTCCATTTTTCCATATCTCGGTTCCTCTTCATATTGCATTATTGATTTTACAACAACCTTATATATCATATACAGGTTAACTAAATTAACACTTATTTGTAAACAGTTGAAGAAAAAGACGGTACAAATCAAACTTTCTAGTGATTATTTTCTTCAAATAATCTCTCTACCCTGAGATACCTCTGAGATCCTAACTACAGGAATTCCCATGATCCCCACAGACCTTTGTAGTGTCAGTGGAGAGCTTGGAGAACAGGCAGAAGCACTGCTTAAACCTACATGGATCCCAAAGGCTGGGTAGCTGCAGCAAAACATGAGTCTAGGCACACACTTTCCCCCAAGGCTCCGTGTCCTGCCCTAAGTGGCTGCAGCTCCTGTCTGCTGGGCCAGAAGAGTGTGGAAATGCTCAAACGCTAAACACAGACCCCACTGCCATTGCTATGAGCTCATGATGGATCCTAGTCACACATCTCCATACTTACTGTTCCCTCCCAAGACTGCCTGTCTGGCCATTCTCACGGGGGTGTCCACAAATAAACTCCATTGCTCCTCTTCAGTGTTTCTTAGTGGTCTGAGAGCAGTTCACGCCCTGAACCTGAGGAGCCGGAGGACACATCTGCTGGCCTTGTCCCAATTTCACAGGACGCAAGTACAGTGTGTCCAGATGTGTGGAAATAACATCTGTGACTGGAAAATTCCTGAAATTAAAAATTCATTATTTGAAAGCTTAAGAAAAAAAATGATAGCCTGCTAGTTATATCAACCAAGAAAGACAGAGAGAAAATTTGAAGAGCAAAATCAGAAAAGACAAAGGCGACATGACGACTGCTAGAACAGAATACAAAAGCTAACAAATGTTACTGTGAACATCTCCGTGCACACAATATAGAAAACCTAAAGAAAATGATTGAATTATTGGAAATATACAAGTTCTCAAAACTGAACCAAGAAATAAAAATTCTAAACACACCAATAATAAGCAAGTACATGTAATCAGTGAAAACAACACCAAGAGGATCAGGACCAGATGGATTCACAGCCAGATTTTATGAGTGTACAAAGAAGATCCGAGACAAACCTTCCTGTAGGTATTTTATAATATGGAGAAGAAAGGATTTCTCTGTAACTCCTTCCAGGAAACAAGCATCACCTTGATACCAAAGTCAGTCAACAACACAACGTAAAATCTAAAGGCCAATATCCCTGATGAACATGGATGCAAATGTTCCCAACAAAATACTAGTAAACCGAAAGCAAGAGCACATCGAAGAGATAATTTTCATGATCAAGTGGGTTTTATTCCAGAAAGAAGGGGTGTTTCAACATCCACAAATCAATAAATTTGATTCACCACATAACCAAAATTTAAAAGAAAAACCATATGGTCATTTCAAAAGAGATACAAAAGCATTTCATAGAATCCAACATTTCTTTCTCATAAAACCCTTAGCAAACTATATATTGAAGATATATCTAAAAATAATAGGAGCCATACACGACAAACTCACAGCTAACATCCTCCCGAATGGGAAAATGTTGAAAGCATCCCCCCTACTAACTGGAAAAAGACAAGAATGTCCACTGGCACCACTCCTATCTAATACAGAACTGGAAGCCCTCAGCAGAAAACCCAGGCAATAGAAAAGAAAAGAAAAGCCATCCAAGGTGGAAAAGAGAAATTCAAATTATCAATTTTTGCTGACACATTTTTATACCTAGAAAACTATAATGACTCCTTCAAAGGACTGGTTGCTAGACTTGATTTTAAAAAGACTTCAGTGAAATTCGAAGACAGAAAATCAGTGTAGTAAAATCAGTAGCATTTCTGTACATCAATAATGTTAAAGCTAAAACCAAATTAATAGCTCAGTCCCATTTACAATCGATAAAAAGCAAATAAAATATCTAGATATAAACAAAATTAAGCACGTGAAAGATCTCTACAAGGAGAAATACAAAATGTTGATTACTTTTGCTGGTTTCTTATAAAACTGGATGGAAACTACAAATACTATTAAGGCAGTGTTCGCATGTTGCAGATGATGCCCAAAGTCCAAACGTTTTTAATGATTAATACGGAGATAAACATCATGTCAGAGCTTCTGCCTCCTTTCCCCTTTGAACCCTGCAGGATTGCCACATCACCGTGACTGCACCTTCATTTATGAATATGCCTACTACAATTAAAAGAAAGAAGAAACAAAATTAATTTTCTGACAGAATAGTAAAAAGAGAAATTTTCTTTGGTTTGAATTTCTTCATTGAGGGTCACCATTTAAAAAAATGCTCACTAGTCATTCTTTTCAATACTGCCTGTGTGAGAGAAAGATGTGAGATGATTGATTATTTCAAATGACCCAAGATAAAGATGGGATATCATCATGGCATGAACAAAAATGAGGTTTATAGCTGTAAGTATTTTATACTCTAAAATATGATCACTAATCATTCCACGAATCTGTTGGGTGAGTTTATTAGATAGATAAACAGATATTTAGATATATTCTGAATAGAAAAATTTACTTTAGAAATAATATTTTATTTTGACTATATAATAATGTACTTAAAAATTCTCTTTGATAAGAAACAAGTGAACCGGATTCAGTTTTCTTCACAGCCTGTGTAATGTACTGTCACTTGCTTCCTCCTGCATGCCATTGATCAGCCCTAGACAGTGACCAGTGCAGCATTTGGTTTGTGTTAACATGCATCAGATTTGTATAAAAATGATAGGGGTTGTCCTCTCACACGGAAGTGGGCAAAATGGAGACTTTATTTTCTAGACTGAACTATTGCCACACTGAAAGAAAACTTGTATTCCAAGACTAAGTGTGTCAATAAGGACTAGTCACATAAATTGAGACATTTGTGTCTCAATTTGCTCAACTATACATTGTAAGAGTTACAGAGAAACACCTTGAAGACCGTCAGCAGGAGCGGTTCACTTTGTAATGCAAATTGACATGAAGGGGAAGTGAGGAAATGCACAACTGAAGCTCCTGCCCTGGTAAACCTTGAGTGCTTGCACAGCGAAGAAAAGGTCAGGGCTGGTATCAGGGGAAGGCAGTGAGACCTGAGACCTGGCATCTAGTTCCTTTTCATTTCATTGGAAAAAGAAAGCTTCTGAAATACTTATATTACAATAGAAAATTGTTTCATTTACAATTTTGTCATTTAAAAAATACTCCTTTCAAATCTTTATTTAAATTTGGTAGATAAGTCAATAATTGTTTTTATAACCCGTGTTTATATAACCCATCAGTATAAGCCCATGTTTATATAACCTGTGTCCATTGTTTATATAAGCCGTGAATATAAATGCCAGATGTTGAAGAAGGAAAGAGGTCTGCTTAACGAAAGAAGTGACGTGCAATGGATCCCACATGTCAGCGTGTGAAGCTAAATGATGGTCACTTCATGCCTGTATTGGGATTTGGCACCTATGCACCTCCAGAGGTAATAATCACATTTTCAGTGTTGAGCATTTAAAAGAGCAAAGCTAGAACAAGTGGACGATGACCTGAGTTGTTCAGCTTTGTGTTTCTGTTACTCTGAGTGACTTCTGTGGTCTGTTTTACCAGGCTAGAGCTATTCTATGTTCAAAGAGAAAAGGTAGTCAATGTCTGTCTGCATTCACGTCTGTCATATGGTAATCTACCGCTTATTTTTATTTTGCACACTGGTTTTTTTCCTTCTGTTTCTGTGTATTGCCCAACTTGGCAGAATATATAGAACTCAACAGTGAAGGACGTTGCCTAGCAGTTCCCTTTCTAGGAGATGACTGCAGCGAGAATGGCTTCTCCATTTATTTCTATAATTGAAGAAATCTATTCTTCCACTAGACATGATCAAAAGAAACCTTGGTAGCAGCAGTGCATAAAGATGGGGTGCATGAAAACTGGGGAGAGAATTGCTGAGCTGCCGCTTAGCCTTGAGCACGACGCAGTAATACTGGTCCTGGACTTACTGCAATACCCTTACATCTCTCACCTCCAGGAAAATTATGTGACAGGATAAATAACCTTATTTTAAGAGAAAACGAGAACCTCACAAGATAAATTTTGAATTTGTGGTCCATGTTAACATGCATCAGATTTGTATAAAAATGATAGGGGTTGTCCTCTCACACGGAAGTAGGCAAAATGGAGACTTTATTTTCTAGACTGAACTATTTCTCCACTGGAAGAAAACTTGTATACCAAGGCTACTAAGTATGTGAATAGGGACTAGTCACATAAAATGTGTCTTACTCTTCTCAACTATACACTGTAAGAGTTGACAGACACACATCTTGAAGACCATCAACACTAGCAGTTTACTTTGTAATGCAATTGGCATGAAGGGGAAGTAAGGAAATCACAGCACGGAAGCTCCAGCCTTGGTAAACTTGAGTGGCTGCACAGCAAAGAGATCAGGGCTGGTATCCGGGGAAGGCAGTGAGACCTGACAGCTGGTTCTTTTTAATATTATTGGAAATAGAAAGCTTCTGAAATACTCATATTAAAATAGAAAATTGTTCTATGTGTGGCTTTGTTGTTTAAAAAAGGTAACTTTCAAATCTTTATCAAAATTTGGTAGATAAATCAATAATTTTAAATTTCACTGAAATTATACGTTTCCTAAAAAAGTTGGCCTTATTTTTTAAGACTAAAACATACTTTACTATTCCCTTACAGGTTGTAGTTAATTTCTTATGTATAAGTCTACATACTTGGAGCATATGTCTTTACTCCTAGTATTTAGCTCTGTCATGCAGAGAGAATGGCTAATGGCTGTGTAGAAAGAAGCTAACACAATAGACTGCAACCAGCAGACGCACCTGTTGTCCAAGTCGGAGCCTGGCTGGTATCTGAGAAGTTGAATTTCACATCCTTTCGTAACTGATAAGGGTGGTGTCTATAACTGACTACTTGTACAATATGTGGGATTTCTGCATACCTGCTTCCTTTACAAGACTGGAAGTTTGGTGTGTGCTATACAGACTGGGTCAATGTAACCAGCACCCAGTTAAAATCTTAGGGATTGCGTCTCCCAATAGCATCCCTTATAGACAACATTTCCCCTATGTTGTCAAAATGTGATGCTAGAGGAAGTAGTGTGTTTCCTGCAATATCATGGAGAGATGAATTATAGGAACTTACACTGTATTCTTTCCATAGTTTCTTCCATGTGCCTTTTTCCATGTGTTCATTTCACCATATTAAAAATAATCAGGAGTGTACATGCAGTCACTCATGCATGTGATCCCAGCACTTTTGTAGTTGAAAGAAGGTGGGTCCCTTGAGCTTGGGAGTCTGAGCCTGGGTAACATAGTGAATCCTGTCTCTACCAAAAATACAAAAACCAAATCGGGCATCACGGTGCCTGTCTGTGGTCCTACCTATATGGGAGGCTGAGGTGGGAGGATCTCTTGAGCCCAAGGTAAAGTAGGTGGGGGTGGGGGCAGATTTCGTAGTGAGCCAAGATTGTGACACTTTATACCAGCCTGAGTGACAGAGTGAGACTCTGTCTCAAATAATAATAAAAATAACTATATTTGTAAGTTGAATCTTGTTAAGTTTTCCAACAAATGACTACATCTGAGGTTATTGTTGGGAAACTCCATGCTAGTGATTAACCAGTAATTGCCCGGGACTAAAGAGGTCCAGAGATACCCAACCTTTATTATTAACCAGGAAAGACTAAAGCAAACTGGGATGGGTTTATCACCCCACATATAGAACTAACCCAAGACACGAGGATAATGTGATGTTTGTGAAGGCTGTTGCTGCTGCCTGAACTACTGATATGGAAATGCTGGAAATGGAAGAGCGTGGTTCCTTTAAATGATACAGAAGCAGGGAAGGGAAGTGCTGGGTAGAGGAGGCTGTGGTCCCTGGCTAGGGTCCACCTGTACGGACCTAGGTGAGGACAGGAATTTTTGTTTTCCTGCCCAAATGTTGCATTTCCCAACACCACCCTGGCCTGCCATGTCCCCATCCTGTGCCTATAAAAACCCGAGATCCTACCAAGGCAGAGACAGAAGCAGCTGAACTTTGAGAGAAGCACATAGGCAGAGGAACACACAGGCAGCTGGATGTGGAGAGAAGCACATCAGTGGAGGAATGCACAGGCAGCTGGACTTCTAGAAAAACGCACTGAAAGGCAGCAGCACGCCCGCAGGCCCCATATTGGCAGAAGGAGAATGGCGCTGAGTTTGGCTGGAGCAGTCAGAAGACAGCCCAGGCTGCTGAGCAGCCCGACTCCAGGGGAAAACGTTCCCACTCCATTCCCTTTTGACTTCCCCAACATACCTCCACTCAATAAAACCTTGCACTCATTCTCCAAGCCCAGGTGTGATCTGTTTCTTTTCAGACACCAAGGCTAGAACCCAGGATACAGAAAGCCCTCTGTCCTTGCGACAAGGTAGAGGGTCTAATTGAGCTGGTGAACACAAGCCTGTAGATGCAAAGCTACAAGAGCAAGACTAAAAGAGCGCCCTGTAACACACGCCCTCTGGGGCTTCAGGAGCTGTAAACATCCACCCCAGACATTGTCACGACCTGCCCATCTGTATGCTCCCCTAGAGGTTTGAGTAGTGCAGCACCGAAGAAGTGAGCCACACGCCCTTGCACACCCTGTGAGGAGAACAAGAGAACTTTTCCCATTTCACTACCTCTCAAGCACATTAATCACCAAATACTACCTTTCGTTTCTTCTTCAGGTCCCGAAGAATAGAACTGTGGAGGCTGTCAAATTAGCAATAGAAGCTGGCTTCCGCCATATTGATTCTGCTCATTTATACAATAATGAGGAGCAAGTTGGACTGGCCATTAGAAGCAAGATTGCAGATGGCAGTGTGAAGAGAGAAGACATATTCTACACTTCAAAGGTACTGTGCCTATGAGGAGCATGAATGCACATATACTTAATGTGATTCTGTGTGGATGCCAATTCTGAAACTGGTTCAGTAGTTGTGGGTGAATTGTGCTTATTAGTTCCAATTTATTCACACATATTCATGTATTAAAACTAAAATAAAAGGCAGAGAATGATGATGTCTTTCTCATCATTGTTATGTTCAGATTTATTGCTTAAAAGTCACTTTAGATTTTGAGCCTCAGCTCAGATCAGTATAATATTTTTTATATGTTCATTTTTTGAATTCAATAGGTTTTGGGGTACAAGTGGATTTTGGTTACATGAATCAATTGTATAGTGGTGATTCTGAGATTTAAGTGAAACTGTCAGGTAATCAGTGGACAATGTACTCAATATGTAGGCTTTTATCACTCATTTTACTCCCAGCCTCCCCCACACTGAGTCCTAAAACATTTAAGAACAGATTAGTTAATTTCCAAGTATTTTTGTAGTTTTGAGGGTTCCTTTCAGAGTTGATTTCTAGTTTTATTCCACTGTGTTCTGAGAAGATACTTCATATAATTTAGATTTTCTTAAATTTAATGAGACTTGTTTTGTGGCCTATCATATAGTCTATCTTGGAGAATGAGAAGAATGATGAGAAGAATGTATATTCTGCAGTTGGGGGGCAGAATGTTCTGTAAACATCTGTTAAGTCCATTTTCTTAAGAGTACAATTAAAATCGTTGTTTCTTTGTTGATTTTCTGTCTCAATTATCTAACTAGTGCTGTACAGTAGAATATTGGGTTCCCGATTCTTATCGTGTTGCTCTCTTATTTATTAGGTCTGGTAGTGATAGTTTTATAAATGTGGGAGCTCCAATGTTAGGTGCATATAAATTCAATATTGTAATGTCTTCTTATAGGATTGATTCCTTTGTCATTATATATTGATCTCATTTGTCTTTTTTTTTTTTTTTTACTATTTTTGCTTTAAAGTCTATTTTGTCTGATATAAGAATAGCAAATCATGCTCACTTTTGGTTTCCATTTGCCTAAAATCTCTTTTTTCACCTTTTTACCTTGAGTTTTACAAATCCTGATGTGTTAAGCGAATCTCTTGAACACAGAAGGTATTTGGTTTGTGGATTATTATCTATTCTGCCATTCTGTATCTCCTAAGTGGAGCACTTAGGCCATTTATGTTCAATGTTAATATTGAGATATGAGGCACTGTTCTGTTCATCATTTCAGTTGTTACTTTGGTTTTTTGTTGCTGTTGTGCTATTGTTTAATAGGCTTTGTGAGTTTTGTGCTTTCAGGAGGTTCTATTGTGGTGCATAATGACCTTTTGTTTCCAGATTTATAACTCTTTACAGCATTTCTTGTAGTGCTGGTTTGATAGTGGCAAATTCTTTCAGCATTTGTTTGTCTGAAAATGACTTTATTTCTCCTTCATTTATGAAATGTAATTGTGCTGGATACAAAATTCCTGGCTGACAATTATTTTGTTTAAGGAAGCTAAAGATAGGACCTCAGTCCCTTCTAGTTTATAAGGTTTCTGCCGAGAAGCCTCCTGTTAGTCTGATATAGTATTCTTTATAAGTTACTTGATGCTTTTGTCTCACAGCTCACAGCTTTTAGAATTATTTCCTTCATGTTGACTTTAGATAGCCTCATGTCCTTGTGCCTTGGTGGTGATATGTTTGCAGTGAATTTCCCAGGAGTTCTTTGAGCTTCTTGTATTTGAAATGTAAGTCTCTAGCCAGGCCAGGAAAGATTTCCTCAATTATTCTTTCAATTAAGTTTTTCAAACTTTTAGACTTTTCCTTTCCCTCATGAAAACCAATTATTCTTAAGTTTGGCTATTTTACATAAATCCCTATTTTGTAGAGACTTTGTTCATTTCTTTTGATTCTTTTTTCTTTATCATCATCTGATTGGGTTAATTCAAAAGCCTTCTCATTGAGCTCTAAAATTCTTTTCTCTACTTGTTCTAGTCTATTCTTGAAACTTTTCATTGCATTTTGTATTTTACTAAATGTGTCTTTTGTTTCCAGAAATTCTGATTGGTGTGTGGGGGCGAGGGGAGGGTATCTGTCTTCTTTGAAAATGTTTGATTCATATCCTCAATATTTGTTTACATTTTCTTTAGGTTGATTTTCACTTTTCTGTGGTATTAGTAGCTTACTAATGAGTCTTCTGAATTCATTAACTGTTATCTTAAAGATTTTCTCTTGGTTTGGATCCATTGCTGGGGAGCCAGTATGATCTCTTGGGAATGTTTTAGGTGACTCCCAGAGTTTTGGGTGACAAAATAATGTTTTGTCATATTATCATAATTACTTTTTTGGTTTCTTCCCATTTTGATAGACTATTTCTTCTAATTGTTCTTAAATTTATTTTTTATTGTGTATTTTAAATTTCTCTTTTCCCTGTTAAGAGTCTGACTATAATGTTTATATTTTATAATAACCTAGTTTGATCTTTAATGCTATTAGATGTGAAGACTTTTATGAGTTCCTTGGTTACAGAGAGTCCTTGTATCATGGCTTCCTTAGATGCTGGTTGTAGGAGCTATATACTCAGTATGTGGGCGGGTTCACTGCCTCCTATGAGATTAGAATGGCAGCAGTCTCTTGAAAGCTTATCTCATTCTTCTGTTGTATTTTATTTATTCATTTTCCCAGCATTTTGTTTATACATTTATTTTATTTATTGAGTATCCTCAACCAAGAATACCACCCCAGGCCAGTTGAGGTGGTATCTCTGGATAGAAAACATTTGTAGCCAAAGCAGGTGGATAAATGTGCTACCCGATGGTGGGCAGAGATCCCAGGTTTGCTGAAGGTACTTGGGAGAGCTCACAGCTGGACTCAGTGTCTCATCAGGGTGAAGAGTGGGAGCTACCTCAGCTCGCCTGCCAGGCTGACAGGAAGACTATTCACCACCCAGCCTCTCTTTTGTTCCAGTGTTTTGGATATTGAGATCAGACAGGCACCACTTTTTGTCTGTAGGAATGCTGCTGTTCTGAGTAGGGAGAGATTGTGACTGCCTCTCATGCAAGTCTGAACCCGGGAAGTGCTCCTCCTGTGGGGATGCAGTCATGCTGAAATGTTCCAGGAAGGCTGGCTATACATGTACTAATGCTGAGCTCCTTTGAGTGAAGCCCTAGATATATCTGCAATGATGGACAAGAGGAGAAAGAAGATCCCTTCTCTAAGACCTTTCATGAGCACCAAGGCTACTTGACTGTTGAGGGTAGAGATTTAGACTCTCCCTTCCGAACCCAGCACTGCAATCGTCTCTGCTGAAAGAAATTTTCCACCTATAAAAAGATGTGGGACCTATATGGATTATTTTGTCTCACAGAATGTTCCTTTGATGTGATGCTCTTCCCCTTAACCTGAGAATAGGAGTTCCTGAGAGACAGACTATAGAGACTAATTTTTATTGCTCTTCTGCGTCTAGCCACACAGTAGTGTGGTTGCCCCACTCTGAGCTAGAGCTGGGGAGTATCTGCAAGGGATTTAGTGATGTGACCTGTCTTCAAGTCTCTCAGCAGTGGGTACCAGCTCCAGCTTTCATGAGGGAGGCAGCAAAGTGACATAGACTCTGTGAGATTCCTTAGTTATAGATAGCCCTGATGTGCTGCACGTATCACCCTGATGTGCTGCACAGAGCCCTAACTGCCTCTGCTGCACAGAAGCGTTCCCACAGAGCGTGGGGAGTAGATGGTGGCAGGAAGCCTCACCAAGATCTCATGGAGTTGTCAAGGCCGATCTCAGACCCACGGTGCTCTGCTAGGAGCACTGGACTAAGTTCCAAGCAGCCTATGTTCAGAACTCAGACTTGCCATGGCCATAAGCTTTTCCTATGGAGATAGCAACTTTGGTTTTCAAGCTATGCCCCTCCACATCCACCTGCAAGGCCAAGCGGCAGGCTTCTGCATTTGTCTCCAGCACACTTCCTGCTTTCCCCCAGGGTTCTGGCAAAAGAAGTTCATCCCCACTCGAGATAACATTAATATCATGAAATTAAGTTAGAAGCTTTTCCAATATGTGACACCTGCCTGAACTCCCCAAGTTCAGGTTGGCTGACTTCCCTGATAGTCCCTGTGAGATAAAATAAGAAATGGCTTCCTTTAGTCCATGCTGGACATTGGGAATGCCTTTGTGGCACTTGCCACTGCTGCTTCTACTTTATTTCTCACCTCTCCCTAAATCAGTTCTGGGTCTGGGTAGGGTTAAGGCCTTCCCCATGGGCTGGATTTTCAAATTCCCTGGGGGGAAGGATATTCCAGAGGCAGCTTCTCCCCTTTTCACACTCTGGGCACTTACAGGTTTTCATCTGTCTCACAGCGTAAGCTGCAGCTCACCACTTCTTTCAAAGAGTCTGTGAATTCTTTTACTTTTCCTATTAAGTTCCTGCATTGCTTCTTGGAAAAAAAGTGTGCAGTGTGAATCTCTACACACTATTCTGTCTTTCCATGGGAGAGACATGCTAACACTATCTCCAATTCACAATCTTGGCGGTGGCGGGGGAAGATCAGGATGTTTAACACAGACTACGGACTCACAGAGACCTACAATCATATTTAGTTTTACTTATTCTGGGATAACTGTCTTCAATATCTTATTATTCTTAATCTCAATTGTCCTTTTCATCAAAGAGTGTGGGAGGAAGGGAGCTGCAACATAAGAGAGTTCTGTGAATATTAAACAGCAGATAACAAAAGTGTCTTGAATGGTGTTCAACACATGTCAGCATGTTAAAAACTTCTTGCTCTTCATTTTCTTTTTTTTTTTTGAGGCGGAGTTTCGCTGTTGTTACCCAGACTGGAGTGCAATGGCCCGATCTCGGCTCACCGCAACCTCCGCCTCCTGGGTTCAAGCAATTCTCCTGCCTCAGCCTCCCAAGTAGCTGGGACTACAGGTGCGCACCACCATGCCCAGCTAATTTTTGTATTTTTTTTTAGTAGACACAGGGTTTCACCTTGTTGACCAGGATGGTCTCGATCTCTTGACCTCGTGGTCCACTCACCTCGGCCTCCCAAAGTGCTGGGATTATAGGCGTGAGCCACTGCGCCTGGCCCTGTTCTTCACTTTCTAAACAACAGGAATACCTATTCTTACCCATTGGATTCAATGGGAGAAAATTAGACTATTCAATTGCTTTATAAATTCTCTCAAACACAATTCAAATAATCAGAATAATTATTTCTTCATATCAATTTTTATCTATTGAAAATTTTAATTCCATTGTTCTGCAGGTGTACTAACTATGTGTGCAATATATAATCACATTCACGTGGGTAGGTCATATCAGAAGAAAACACACAAAGGGAATTTTTTTCCCAGGGTCATTAGTGTGGAATGGTGAAAAGGGTCTACATATTAGGTGGAGCAAACTAATAAACGTGGCTCACGTTTTTATTCAACACAAGCCTTTTCTTTGACTCTGCAGCTTTGGTGCACTTCCCATCGACCAGAGTTGGTGCAATCAGCCTTGGAAAGCTCACTGAAACAACTGCAACTGGACTATGTTGACCTCTATCTTGTTCATTTCCCAGTGGCTCTCAAGGTAGGCAATTTGTGGGATCAATTCGCTTTCTCTTCTGTTGTCAGCATGACCATCCTTTACACTGATGGTTGCATGAAGTTTCTTCTTAGAAGGGTGTAGGTATTATTACATGGGAGCAGAATCCTAAGTATAATGCCTAAACCCTGTTCTATTGACTAAATAGCGAAACCTTCCTTCTCTAATGTATGATGACAACAGAAGACGGTACATCAACCTCAAAGCCTCTCCCTCAAAAACTCGAGAAAATAAAAATAGCCACCTTCAAGGTCCTATCTTAATTAAGGTTCCTGAATCCATCTGCAGGATGGGGCTGTGGTGCCTGCCCCCCAAAAAAACTGCTGCACAGGTAGTGCACAGTGAGTTTCAATCATCTCTCCCTATTTTAAGCTGAAATAGATTTGGTGGAACTCACTCTGGGTACGTCTTAGAAAGGAAACCATAATGGGACCTGCTAATCCTTGCCTTTTTCACTAAGGTTTCATTCACAATGGAGTTTGTAGCTTTGCTTAGACATGAATTTCCGTGTTGTGCATAACTTTTAATTCAAATGTATTAAAAAAAAAACTCGGGCTAGTTTATTTAAAAGTTTATTGCATGATGCAAATGGGTAGTCACTGCCATGTATACATTTAAAGATTTGACGTAGCCTCTAAAAATGTGACCTTTTCTCTGTTATTATCTATGCATTCCAAGGGCTTTTCTGGATTTTTGTCCCAACCTTTATCATTGGTGGCAATGACAGCTTTGAGGCAGCTCAAAGTTCGTGGTCATTAACATAAGAGCCTCCCTCGGTCTTACAACTTTCAAATTAATATTGAAAAGAACTTCATTTGACCATGTTTAGTTTATGATCCTGCCCATGGACTATCAAGTCTTCAGGGGGACAAGAGCTCTTATTGTATCACCTGGATCAAGAGTATAGTCCCTTATTGCTGGATATGAAGGGCTTTTTCAATCCAAGAGAGGCATTTCCCCAGAGAAAATTATGGGAACAGATGAAAGTAACAAAAGTCGACTGTGAAACCCCATTAGAACCTGTAAAATGGTTATGTATTAACATATAAAATGGAAGTAAAAGACGAAAGGAAGCCTGTCTCCTAAAGACATTCCTTAAAATTCCACATGTGACACATTTTGCCCACATCGTTTTTAGAACATTGCAGCACCTACCTCATGGAGGAGTATTATCCTAAAATGTACCTGGGAGCATGCCTATGGCTGGAGAAGTTAAACTGTGACATAATTCAAATGACTATTTCTACTTCAGCCAGGTGAGGACCTACTACCAAAAGATGAAAATGGAAAAGTAATATTCGACACAGTGGATCTCTGTGCCACATGGGAGGTGAGTGCTTGGAGGGCGGAGCACAGAAGAGGAAGACAAGAAGGGGTAAACCTGTTTCCCAGCTTCCATGTGTGAGAATGGAACATGCACCACTGGATCTAGAAACTAAGGAGCTTGACAAAGGAGGTTTTGCTGGGTGGTAGGGAAGAACACATGACTGAAAAAGAATAGAGAGAAATGAAGGAGATAAACTGGGGACAAGGAAGACAGGTATTCCCCATCCTCCATGTGCATTTCTCTCTCCAGTTTCCTAAAGAGGACACAGAAATTCGTCCTCTTGCTGTCACTATCCTTTTCTGTTATCTGTTGTGATTTTTCTCTTGAGAATCACTGCGATTTTCATTGTCATCTCTTAACAGTTGTTAACAGTTCTGTCTTGCATTTATGATAATCTGCAGCCATGTGCACAAATAATTCCTCACAACTGCTTTTGCCCCAGGCCATGGAGAAGTGTAAGGACGCAGGGTTGGCCAAATCCATCGGGGTTTCCAACTTCAACCGCAGGCAGCTGGAGATGATCCTCAACAAGCCAGGGCTCAGGTACAAGCCCGTCTGCAACCAGGTGAGCGCCCTCAGCCTCCTCTCCTTTCTCATCCCAATGCCCATCTTCCTGTCCTGCCGCCTGGCTTCCATTTGTGCTGTTCTACTTACCTTTGTGAAATAGAAGATTCTAGAAAGCAAAGCCTCTGTGTAGAAGAACATGGAAGACCCTTAATTGTACCTCTCCTTGGAGAAGGCTTAGTGAAAAAGGTACAGAGACCTTCATGCTGAATTGTGTGTAATATTTTTGCTGGAGGTAAATTTCATCAAGAAGGACTGAAAATGGTTAATCAGAAGTCAGGGAGAAGGTGGACTTGTCTCTAAGCTACGGGAGACCACCAGAGAGTGGATGGGTCAAGATGATTTGGAGCAAACTGTGTATAATTATAAAGGCCATGAAAACATGGGAGAAGCAGTAAATCCGGAGAGTGAGAATAAATGAAGAAAGGTACTATGGATTTCAATGGGGTTTAGATGTCTGAATGCTTTTTGTTGATATCTCTGTTTTCACTGTCTTGAGCAAGTACTAAAAATTAACTGGAAACAATGAAAGTCATCCAGATTAAAGACAGGAAGTCACCTGTTTAGGAGAGCTCCTTGGAGAGATAAGCCGAAAGGACATGGGGTGCTACCCCCTCCCATGCCTTGTGTAGAAAAGTCTGCCACTCTTGTCTCATTTAGACCCGGGCTCCAATAGGAGAGTCTTATAGGTGGACCACTTAGGAAGAGAAGTTCTAAAGCACAAAAAAAGAAAGCATTTCAATTTGGGCTTATTTGCAGCTGGAAATGGGGGAGTGGACTGACTAAAGTACTGCCCTGTCCATCCTGCCCTCATTTCAGTCCTCCACATTGTTATTTCACGTTTGGACTTGCTAGAACAACTGACTTATACGGGCTGCAATTCAATCCATTTGTAAATACCGTACCTACCAAAGGACTTAACACTGAGAAAATGAAGATGACCTTGGAAAATTCTAAGACAGTCACTTTCCACTCCTGGGATGTAGGTGGTCAGGAGAAATGAGGGACGCTGTAGAAGCCACATACCAGATGCACAGATGGCTTTGTGCTTACTGTGGACTCTGTTGACGTTGCAAGAATGGAAGAAGTCAAAACTGAACTTTACAAAATAACTAGCATATAAGAAAATAAAAATATCTTAGTACGTGTGGGTGCTAAGAAACTAGACTTGAGGAACTTGCCTCTCTCAGAAATGGAGAAATTGTTGGCAACGGTTGAACTGAGCTCACCAACTCCTTGGCATTTGCAGCCTATCTGTGCAATCGTAGGACATGAACCGAAGGAAGGACTTGAGAGACTCCATGATGTGATAATTAAAAGAAGAAAAATGTTGCAGTAATAGAAAAAGAAAAGATGAATACAATATGTTTTCTGTATATGTGAAATAGATTTTCTCTGGTCTTGACAAATGCAAGACTGTCTACAGCTTAGTTTTTCTGTGTGGCCCCCCTGGGTGCTATCAAAGCTTCATTTCATTGAATAATCAGATGCCCAACTCTGTGGCTTGCGGAAGATGAGTAAATGCAGTGATGCTTGAAGTGGTCTCCTCTCTTTAGCCCACAGATATTTTGGTACCGTCATTTTAGGAAGTCAAACAACTATAGTAAATTAACCAGAACATAATTGTGGAAATTTGATGCAAAGTTAGTGAAATAAAACTTTAAAGAGTGAAAAAAAGAAAGTTACCTGTTTATGGAGATAACTAGTTATGGTGGATGAAATCAGCACTGAGGAAAGTTTAGCAGAACGTCGAGCTCACCCTGTGATGGCCACATCTTATTCTGAAGCAGCTCTTTGCCTTCGGTCATCAATTCAACTGTTTAGATGCATCTATTCTGTGTATGGTTCTGTTGAAACATGTAGTATTTAAAATTTATGTATTTGGCAATACAATAATATAAAATGATTTTCAATTTAAAAGTTAAGGATTTAATGTGGTTTTAATGTTAGTTTTACTCTTTTTCAATATAACAATTTTCAAATTTTAGAGAAATTTGAAGGGATAATTCAGGACATCCTCCTGTTACCATCTGTATCCAAAATTATTGACTTTGCCAACCTGGCAAATATATGGGCATGTATATATGTGAGTATAACTGCATCAGTGCATGTAGTATTTGTTGAATCTCTTCAAAGTATATTGCAGTGGTCACAATTTAACTCTACAGACCTTTCGAAGTGTGGCATAGAAATGAAGATATTCTCCCAGTAACAATACAATTATTATATCTAAGGAAATAACAATAATGCCCTCATCTCATTGACTATCCCATGTGTATTCAGATTTCCCATTGTTTTATTGAAAGGTCTCTTATACCTCTTATATTTTAACCAGAAACAGAAGATGAAAAAATGTAAAGATACCATCAATATAAAAAGATATTAAGTACCTGGAAATTATACCTAATAACAGATATGACCTCTACAAAGAAAATTCTAAAACAATGGGAAATGTTAAGTAAGAGTAAATGAATAAAAGATCTATCACACACGCACACAAATCCAATTGTGACTTTCAGCTTGTTGTACTTTGATCAGTTAACTTGTTGTTCCGAGCTTTTAAAAGGTAAGTTTCTGTAGATTAGAAGTTATGCCCGAATGCGTTATATCATCACAGTTAAACATTTCTGGTGAGGAACTGCCTCTACCTTGCTGTATCCCTGAAGTTATACCACAGCATTCCCAACAGCATGAAATGACAGATTGCCCCACAATTAGTGATGCTAATTTTGATGATTTGATTAAGCAAATGGTAGCCAGATCTAATTTTCATAGACATGTGTTTCCCCTTTGCAATTACTAGTAATCTGCTGGGTGATAATATCAAGAGGGAAAATTATATTCCACTACAAATTTCCACATAATAATTGAGTATAAATCAATGATGTTTCAAATTTTTGTATTGTATTATTATTATTGGATTTGTTCCTTCCATGTGGCTTTAAAGTAATTACTTTCAACTTTAACTGTAGGTTTTACTATTCTGACTTTACATTTTATTATGAAAAAAAAAATTTCTCACCAAGAAGGGAAACAATTACTCAATTTCTCCAAACATGCTAAAAGCTTAACTGTTTCCCTTTAATTATTCATGTCCCAGAAAAGAAATTACTGTAATAATCACTGTATTAGTCCATTTTCATGCTGCTGATAAAGACATATCCAAGACTGGGATGAAAAAGAGGTTTAATGGACTTATAGTTCCATATAGCTGGGGAGGTCTCACAATCATGATAGAAAGCAAGGAGGAGCAAGTCATGTCTTACATAGATGCTATCAGGCAAAGAAGGAGAACCTGTGCAGGAAAACTCCTCTTTATAAAACCATCATATCTCATGGGACGTATTCACTATCTCAAGAATAGCATGAGAAAGATCCACCCCATGACTTAATTATCTCCCACTAGGTCCTTCCCACAACACATGGGAATTATGGGAGCTACAAGACAAGATTTGGGTGAGGACACATAGCCAAACCATATCATGCAACTCCTGGCCTCTCCCAAATCTCATGTCCTCACAATTTAAAACCAATCATTCATTCCCAACAGTCCTCCAAAGTCTTAACTCCTTTCAGCATTAGCTCAAAAATCCACAGTCCAAAGTCTCATCTGAGACAAGGGAAGTCCCTTCCACCTATGAGCCTCTAAACTCAAAAGCAAGTTAGTTACTTCCTAGATACAACAGGAGTATAGGCATTGGGTAAATGCAGCTGTTACAAGTGGGAGAAATTGGGTGAAACAAAGGGGCTACAGGCCCCATGCAAGTCCAAAATGCAGCAGGGCAGTCAAATTTTAAAGCTTCAAAATCATCTCTTTTGACCCCATGTTTCACATCCAAGAGTCAATGTGACTCCACTCACACCCATGCTGCTATAAGAAGTGGGTTACTATGTTCTTGGGCAGCTCCATCCTGTGACTTTGAAGGGTACAGCTTCCCTCCTGGCTGCTTTCATGGGCTGGCATTGAATGTCTGCAGCTTTTCCAGGTGCACAGTGCAAGCTGTCAGTGAATCTACCATTCTGGGGTCTGGAGGATGGTGGACCTCTTCTCACACCTCCACTAGGTGGTGTCCAAGTAAGGATTCTATGTGGGGGCTCTGACCCCAGAATTCCTTTGTGCATTGTCCTAGCAGAAGTTCACCATGAGAGCCTGGGCCTCGCAGTAACCTTCTGCCTGGACATCTAGGTGTTTCTACACATCCTCTGAAATCTAGGCAGAAGTTCCCAAACCTCAATTCTTAACTTCTGTGTAACTGCAAGCTCAACACCACATGGAAGCTGCCAAGGCTTGGGACTTGCACCCTCTGAACCCTCTGAAGCCATGGCCTGAGCTGTACCTTGTCCCCTTTTAGTCACGGCAGGAGTGATTGGGATGCAGAGCACCAAGAGCCTAAACTGCACACAGAATTGAGACCCTGGGCCCAGCCCATAAAACTATTTTTCCCTCCTAGGCCTCCACCTCTGGGCTTGTGATGAGGCGGGGCTGCCACAAACATATCTGACATGCCATGAAGACATTTTCCTCATTGTCTTGGTGATTAACATTTGGCTTTTTGTTGCTTATGCAAATTTCTGCAGTCAGCTTGAATTTCTTCTCAGAAAATGGGTTTTTAATTTTTACTGCATCATCAGACTGCAAATTTTCTGAACTTTTATGCTGTTTCCCTTTTAAAACTGGATGCTTTTAACAGCACCCAAGTCACCTCTTGAGTGCTTTGCTGTGTCGAAATTTCTTTAACCAGACACCCTAAATCTTCTCTCTCAAGTCCAAAGCTCCACAAATCTCTAGGGCAGGGACAAAATGCCACCAATCTCTTTGCTAAAACATAAAAAGAGTCACCTTTGCTCCAGTTCACAACAGGTTCCTCATCTCCATCTGAGACCACCTCAGCCTGAACTTTATTATTCATATTACTATCAGCATTTTTGTCAAAGACATTCAACAAGTCTCTAGGAAGTTCCAAAGGTTCCCATATGTTTCTGTCTTCTTCTGCACCCTTCAAACTGTTCCAACCTCTACCTGTTACCCATTTCCAAAATCACTTCCACATTTTTGGTATCTTTTCAGCAATGTGTCCCTCTACTGGTACCAAGTTCCATATTGGTCCATTTTCACATGCTGATAAAAACATATGCAAGACTAGGGGGGAAAAGTGGTTTAAAGGACTTACAACTTCACATGGCTGGAGAGGCCTCACAATCATGGCAGAAGGCAAGGAGGAGCAAGTCACATCTTACATGGATGGCACCAGGCAAAGAGAGAGTTCATGCAGGGAAACCCATTTTTAAAACCATCAGATCTCAAGAGACTCATTCACTATCATGAAATCAACACAGGAAAGACCCACCCCCATGATTCAATTATCTTCCACTAGGCCCCTCCCACAACATGTGGTCATTATGAGAGTTACAAAATGAGATTTGGGTAGGGACACAGAGCCAAACCATATCAATCACCACTGGTGGAGGCAAATATTTTTGATCACTCTCTCTTTTAACCACTCAACACTATGAACACATGGATTGTTTTGCTATAACTTGTGATTGATTTTACTCATTATCGGTTTCTGATGTTCAAATCTATACAAACATTACTACTGAGATTCCTATAAAACTACTACTTTTGTCTTTTAACCCTGCCCTCAGGAATCTTTGAAAAAATTCTTACTTTCTGGCACACTTTGATGTTCAAAGCTCAGAATCTTACCCTATCCCAAGTCCAGAATCTGCCATGTGGTCAGAGGTTTTTAGAACCTGGCTGTGATTCATAGAGTTGTTTGTGCTTAGAAATAACATTTCTATGTATACTTTTAGGAAACATCAGTATAAAATTTATTTTTATAAGAAAGATCATTACTTGACAGTAATATTCTCAGTTCAAATTTAATGTTACATATTATTTATTCAGCTTATTTTAATCTTTTCATATTAACATAACTGTTTTGCATTATGTGATGCTTTTCTGTCTTGGTCATCTGCAGGTGGAATGTCATCCTTACCTCAACCAGAGCAAACTGCTGGATTTCTGCAAGTCAAAAGACATTGTTCTGGTTGCCTATAGCGCTCTGGGAACCCAACGACTTGAACTATGGTAATAAAAGCAAGAGGAAGTTTACCTAAAATGCTATTTTGATGAAAAATTTTAATTATAGCATACTAAATCTCCTGGAATTCACTCTTAGTGAGTCAGGGTAAGGGAGAATTTGCATCTCTTACAAGATCCCAGGTGAGGCTGCTACTGTTGGTCAGGTGCCTCACTTGAGAAACTCTGGTGCATAGTGAATGACTTAGTCTGTTTAAGGAGCCTCCTACCAAACTGAATCCAGTCTCAAGACTTCAGCATTTCTGGCTTTCCTTCCAGGGTGGACCTAAACTCCCCAGTTCTCTTGGAGGACCCAGTTCTTTGTGCCTTAGCAAAGAAGCACAAGCGAACCCCAGCCCTGATTGCCCTGCGCTACCAGCTGCAGCGTGGGGTTGTGGTCCTGGCCAAGAGCTACAATGAGCAGCGGATCAGAGAGAATGTGCAGGTGAGGAGCTGGGTGGGCATCAGGGCTCCTGCACTGTGTCCTTCACACGTGTTTCTTATAAGGCTCTCAGGACACCCTTGGACTAAGTCCATTTCCCAGGCATTTCCTATGCACAAATGCTTTGTGTACATCCTAAGGGTTTTCTTCTCTACCACAGGAGAGGCAGCATGGGTAAGGAGAATCAGGATGGGACCAAAACCAGAAATTTTGGTTTCAGCATAAAGCTGGCAACTTATTCTCTATCCCTCTGCTAGAGACATCACCTTTTCTTCATTTTCTGAAATGAGGAGTTGGGTTAGGTGTTCTCTAGTCTTCAAATCTTTGCAGTTTCTTTTCAAGTCCTTGTTTACTCAGTATAAATTTCATATATTTATTCTCTTGGAATTTTTTTTCGAGTGCCTGTTGAAGTCTTTAGGTATTTTTATTAGGATGCTTGTCTTTTCCTATGTGTAGAAGACCATAATTAAGTAAAATTATAAAAGAAAACCCCTCGTCATAGAGGTTCAATGCAAAACCAAGTATTTAACTGCCAATTCTATGGTTTGAATTTTAGCCTAAGCTCCACCTGAGCTAAGTCTAGTCCTTCTGTTTCTGGCTGGGGTCTCCTATGTGTGTGCAAGGCAATGAGGCCACTCTGCAGAATTAATCCAAAATTCAAATTCTGGATATTAATTCTTTAGATATTCAGATGTATTGTTGAAATAGCCTCTCCCAAAAATACCCATGTTTTGATTCTTTTTATATTTGATTTAATAAACAAAAGTTTCTACTCTTAATTCTTAGTCAAATTGTTCATGACATTTTCTTACAGTCAATAATACTGTATATTTTCCTATATTGGAAACATGACAATATGTTACTGTTATTATATAGTAAAATATATCTATTATATAGTAATACATAGTAAAGCAATATATGATATCCTATTATCTTACAAAAGCATTAATGTGCTTTTATAAATTGGAAAAACTTAAGTTGATTTTTAATATGTGAAATAAGGATGCAAATGTGCATATACATAATTTTCACTTGATATTAAAATGTCCTAAGAATTATTGAAAAATCCATATCTGCTCACATATCTTGATTTTTCATCCCATCATAAAGTGTTCATAAGTACTTCTCTGACATTTCTCCTCTTTGAAGTGAGTTATTAACTTTCCTGTACTGTCTAAATTGTGTTGAATAGAAAGTCTTATTACCAGAATAGTATAAGTATTTTTCTGGCTTATTCTCTTATATAATAATGTCTTGGCTAGTTCTTAAGGAGTGTCCCGTTATATAACATTCAGTATTATCAACTTTAACAAAAGAGCTAATCTTCTGTTCTCTGGCTGAAATGGCTCTGAAACTGCAGAACAATTTGGTGAGAAGTGATTATTTGACTATTGAAATTTCCAGTTTATGACCACATGAATACTCAGTTATTTACATATTTTAATACACACTTCAATTAGTTACATAGTATTCTTTATTAAGGTATTTGTTTATGTTTTCCTAGATTCATAGAAAACTTATAATTTTATAGTCTTTGAATAACTTTTTCCTTTTTGATAATTTTCTAATCTATGCAAATATTCTAAGAATAATACAATGGATGCTTCTTACCTAGATTCATCAATTGTTAAATTGATGACATTCTCTTTTCCTCTCTCTCTCTCATTCTCTGTATCATTAGAGTATTCCAATAAATTTATTTAGTAATTTAGTATTATATGTTAGCAATTAGTGACATCTTTTTGATATTTAAATTCTCTCCAATTTGAATATTGAGATCCTTTTCAAACAACTACTTGTGTTCTTTGAGCACGACATTATTAGTATTTGGACAATTACTGTCTTGGATTTTGTTGAAAACAGTTTTTTTTTTTTTTCACATTATTCCTGTCCGTTGAAGATGGAAATACAGATGCATGTTGGATTTCAGCATTTCTATATCTGGTGTGAAACTGCACAACTCTGCAGACAAAGAGAGGATCTCAACAGAAACTAGAGGTGGAACAAAGCTAACCTATGTGTACGTGATTAGTTCGTGTACTTAGAAGATTCAGAAGAATCTCGGGGGAAATTTTGAAACTTATACTTTAGACAGTTTGATGGTGATACAATCTGGATATTTGTCATCTTCTAATCTTGTGTTAAAAATGTGATCCCCAATGATAGGAGTGGGGTCTAGTGGAAGGTGTTTGTGTCATAGGGGCAAATACAGAAACAGAAATCTAGCAATATCCATCTGTATTAGTCTGTTTTGTGCTGCTGTAAAGGGATACTTGATGCTGGGCAATTTATACATAAAAGAGGTATCTTTGGCTCACAATTTACAGGTTGTACAAAAATCTTAGCACCAGCATCTCATCCTGGAGAGGTTTCAGGAAGCTTTAAGTTTCAACATTAGGTCATTCCTTTGCTCCCATACTGATCATAGGCTCTTAGAAGCAGCCACACTACCTGTAGAATGTTTTCCTGCCTAGAAATTTCTTCCACTAGTTACCCTAAGTCATCACTCTTAAGAAGACTTTCACAAACCCCTAGAGTGGACACAATGCAGCCAAGTTCTTTCCTAAAGTATAACAAGGGTGAACTTTGCTCCAGTTTCTAATACGTTTCTCATTTTGGTCTTAGATCTCACTGCTGTAAACTTCATTGTCTGCATTTTTATCAGCATTTTGGTCACAATCATTTAGCCAGTGCCTAGCAAGTTCCAAACGATCCTTTATCTTCTCGTTTTCTTCTGAACCCTCCCGACACTTCCAAACTGTGCTCATTACCCAGTTCAAAAGCCACCACCACATTTCCAGCCATTTTTAGCAAGGTCCCACTCCTGGTACCAATTTTCTGTATTAGTCCATCGTGTGCTGCTGTAAATACCTGAGGCTGGATAAAGTACACTGAAAGGTGGTTTGTTTGGCTTACCATTTTGCAGACTGTACAAAAAACATGGCACCAGCATTTGGTTTTGGTGAGGCCTCAGAAAGCATTTACTCGTGGTAGAAGGTGACAGAGGAGCAAGCACATCAAATAGCAAGAGATGTATTAAGAGGGAAAAAAAGATAAAATGTCAACCATTTTTAAGCCAGATTTCATGTGAACTAATGTAGCAAATACTCATTACCATGGAGAGGGCTCCAAGCCATTCATGAGAGATGCCCCCATGGCACAAACACCTCCCACCAGGACCCACTTCCATCACTGGGGATCACATTTCGACCCAAGATTAGGAGGGCACAAATATCCAAACTGTATCACCATCAAACTGTCTAAATTATAAGTTTCAAAATTTTCCTCTAGATTCTTCTGAATCTCCTACGTACATGAACCAATCATGTGCACACAAGGTCAACTTTGTTCCATCTCTAGTTTCTGCTGAGATCTTCACTTTGCAATGTTGTGCAGTTTCAACACACACTATTTAGGAATGATTTTCTTTATATTTTACCTGATATTCTTTAATCCCTTGAGAATTCAGAGATATCTTTCATAACTTTTGGAAACTTATCAAATATTTTAAGTAATGCCTCTACACTCTACTCTTCTAGATTTGGCTGTTGCTAGTTGACAACTATGCAATCTAACAACAATAAAAATTTTATCCTTTGGTAGGTTTTCAAATTCCAGTTGACTTCAGAGGATATGAAAGTTCTAGATGGCCTAAACAGAAATTTTCGATATATTGTCTTGGATTTGTAAGTAATTTTGGAAAATGGGTTGCCCAGTTTATTTTTAGAGGAGGAACATCAGTTGAGTGTTTAAAGTGACCTCAGTACTAGGGAAACGGGTCAGTGTGAGAGGTGAGACAGGAATTTTCTGGAACTCTCCTTCTGGATTCACTCCAGAGCTCTGCTCTCTGACAGGGGAAAACAATCAGGGTCAGCGTGGGTTAACCTGACCCTGCTCCCCAACTTCATTAAACTTTTCAGAATAATCGATATTATTGCTGTGTCTGTACCTTTCACATAAGCCTGGCATTTCTGCTATGGCATAGTGGACAAACTGTGGATATTGCTCATATGGCCTGATTAGACAGTTTTCCAAATCTGTACTTAAAGCTTATCCTTCCAAACCTGCACAGTTCCTTATCAGATAAAATTTCTAACAACATTGGTGTCCGTGCCAGAAATTCTCATCTCTTCCATATGGAATTGCTCACTAGATCATGTCAATTCAATATATTCAATACCTTCAAATTTCTTTCTTCCTTCTCTTTAGACATTTGGTCATGACCCAAACACCATTTTGCCTCCAGAAAGTTTGCCCTTAGTGGGCAATAGAACTCTTGGCTTTGATTTTTTGCAATATGGAAATCTTAATGCAGACTATAATGAAGATTTAGAGGAGAGAGGTTAAAAATCAAAAGAAGAGCCAGGCTCTGTGGCTCACGCCTGTAATCCCAACTCTTTGGAAGGCCAACGCAGGTGGATCACTTGAGGTCAGAGGTTTCAGACCAGCCTGGCCAAAATGGTGAAACCCTGTCTCTACTAAAAATACAAAAACTACCTGGGAGTGGGAGTGCACACCTGTAATTCCAGCTACTCAGAAGGCTGAGGGAGAAGACTCACTTGAACCCAGGAGGTAAAAGTTGCAGTGAGCTGATTGTGCCATGGCACTCCACCTGGGCAACAGAGCAAGACTCTGTCTCAAAATAAAAACAAAGAAACATCAAGAGAAGGGTTGGAAAGCCTCATCTATGGAGATAATACACAGCTGACAAAAGATCTTACTCTTTCTACATGCTCCAAGCTTCTAGGATTCACAGAAAGGCACTCATGTGATGAGGGAAAAATAACTTATGTCACTGCTTGCAGTAGAGATATTAACAGGTAATAGACATGATGAGATAATGTATTAAAAAGGGTAAGCATAGCAGCACATCATAAGAGCTCAAACATTTTTAGATATCATTGTTTATATTTTCATTAGAGGAAAAGAGTAAAACAGGAAATCATGAAAAGGAAAGGAAGAGTGGCAAACCTCAGCGATTCTCACCATCAATCGATTATTCAATATTGATGAATCATTTATTCATCCCTCTATTTTGTGTGATTTCCATCTAAAGACTGTCCTGAGCATATTGTAGAGTTTTGGATATGGAACCCCATATCACATACCACAATTTACATGCCTGAATCAAAGAAAATATTTTCCATATGGTAAGCTGCTAGTCAGCAACGAATATATTTTTTAAAGGATGTATGATTGCTACCAATAACATTTAACACTCAAAACTTTGTTTGTGATGAAATATAGCTGGCTTATTTCTATTCAAAGCAATGTAGGGTAAGTTCCTACCTTCATTGAAAATTTGAAACAGAAAAGGTCAGAATATCTCTTTACTCTGTTGACAGATATGGAGGACTATGTTTGAACAATTGACCCTGTGTGGTTTATGTGATAAATTCCAGGCAATAGAATACAAGTTAAATAATTTCTTATTTCAAAAAAAAAATCCTCATATTATAAGTCATGTTCATAAAAGACAGAAATTCTACAACTAGTCAGAAAATAAACTTAACATTCACACTAACGGCAGCTTCATAGAAATCACTTCCCTACCACCTTTTTAATAAGAGTCATTTCATTCATATCGTGTGCTGTTATTTCTCTTTTCAGCTTTGCAGGCCACCCTGATTATCCGTTTTCAGATGAATATTAACATGGAGGGCATTGCATGATGTCTGCAGAAGGCCCTGCCTGAGGACGGTGATGCAGAGGATGTCTCTGTGCTGGTGACTAGAAACACCGCCTCTGGTTAAATCCCTTCTGCTTGGAAACTAAACTTTAGTTAGTCAGATATGTCCACAGGCCAGAACGCCAAGACAATCAGTTTGTATCATCTTAAAATAATTGAATGTTTTTCCTTAAAGACTATTTTCCTATTCCTTTCTCTGTTACTTGTATGTTTCTTTTCCTTCTAGTTCATTAGGGCCAAAAACTATGATTTGCCAGTAAGTTTGGGGCAGGAGTGGATGATGATAATTATTTAAAGACATTTTTGAGGTGGCAGTGGGTGGAATGTTCAGCCTCTAGAGGAGGAGCAATTGAGAGTTATTCATCAATTAGTCTGTCTTCAGCTCTTTTAGAAAGAAGAAAGCGCACAACATAGAGCCTAAAAGGTGAGCCATGAAGACAGGATGACCAACAATCCATGGCCTCCCTCTAGCATCACAAGAATTGGAGCTCCAGCAACCTGGGGATGAAGCATTCCTGCAGGGTGATGGTGAGGGAGGTGGGAGGACACGCATCCAGGAGAAATAATTAGAAGTCAGATATGCGGAAGGTTAGGAGAAGGGAGTTGAGCACATCTGTGCTTGGGAAATACAGGCGCATGCTCTTTTGTCAATTACATCTTATGCATAAAAGGAAACTTCCCACATTGTTTTAAGGCTGAGACCCAGGCCTTGACCTCCTAAGTGTGCCTGGTATCAGCAGTGACCTTGCTGGGCTGTGGCAGAGACAGGACATCAAAGACTGATCACATTCTCCTGATTATCAGCTCCATATAGAGAAAATATTATTAGGTTCTAAAAATATACTATTAATTTGTTCTACTCAGTCTTTTGAAATATTTCATACATTTAAAAAGGTACACTTACTAATATAAAATATCCCAAAGCCATAACATGTCATTGTCAAATGAATTTCAAAATTGCAAATACTACATCTAATAAACTATCAAAATTTAAAAACTCTTTGGAAAACAGTGTATATACAATAGCATGGTGCTTTCAAACTTCGGTAACTTCAGGAATAATTCTTACAAAGACATGTAATTGTTCGTATAGTTTGTAGGGGTAAAAATTTAATCAGCTAGTCGACAACATACAATTTCATTCCAGACAACTTTTTTGAAAAGTTGGGACAATGTCATGGGCTACTGGCCAAAGCACTTTGAGACTGACAGGTGTTTATAACGTTTATGTGCACGTTTTCCAATGCTTTCACCCCCACTGATTGAACCCCATCAAAGGGGCTTCTTTAACCCACGTCTTTCAGCTGAGAAATATCCTGCCAAGTTTCCTAGTCCATGATATTTCCTGAAATGATTTCGTTCCTGAAATTGTAGCAGCCCGTTAACTTTGGAGGACCCTTGGGTAATCTTTGCACTGTTTTCTGTCTTCACTCATTTCCTTGATATCAAATATTCTCACGGCTTTGAATACAACCTCTAAGCCAAGAAACCACAAATCAATATCTGCAACTCGGATTTTTCCCCAAAACTCCAGAGTGAAACATCACATTGTCTGCAACTGTCCATCAGCACCTAACAGACATTCACGCTTAGCATGCCTCAAACAAAGCTCACTGTTCCTAGGCTAAGTAATAATTTCACATCTTGTAAAACTGATCGACACAAAGATTATTGTATTTTTTCAACTTATTAGTCAAGTACGTAATGCCAAAGAATTTCACATTTTCTTAGCGTGCATAAAGTTTTTTCCAAGATGCGAAATAATAATTAGAACAGTCACTTATAAATAGCAAACCTGCCACAGGCTGATTCCACTCATTTACCCTTCATTTTCACAAAAACCGTATTTTAAAATCTTACTCAGAATTTTTTAAAGCTTAAATCGGAACACATGGGATGTAACAAAATTCTATAACCTCCAATTCCTCATTTCACTATATTCTTTCTATAAGAAATGCTAAAAGGAGGCTGGGAGCAGTGGCTCATACCTGTGATCCCAGCACTTTTGGGAGGCTGAGGTGGGCAGATCACTTGAGTCAGGAGTTTGAGACCAGCCTGGCCAACATGGTCTCCAGGAATGGAGACAATTTTAGGTACAGGGAGCTGCATGGCAGATTCCATTCTGTCAGGGGTGGGGATAGGGGGCACTGTGGGGCTTAAAGCAGGGTGATCATGTCTTAAGCGGGTCCTAATTACTCCCGACTGCTCTCTTGGACGCTGGGTGCCTCCTCTTTTCCTGCAGTTCACACATGTAGAGCATCCAAGGCTGGGAGAGGAGATAGCTCAGGGTGCTGAAGGCAGGGAGCTTTTTGGTATTAAAGGGAGCTGTGCTCTTGGAGGTTGGCGTGTCTTCACCTTCTGGCTTATCTCCCTTCAGCAAGCACAGGTCCCTTGGCATGGATTCTGAGGAACACCTTGGTGAAGAAGGTGGACTCCCAGCTCAGACCAACCTCTGCAATCTTAGCAAACCTGGATATTCAATCTGCTGCACTCTTCTAATCCTGTGTTACAATCTACGAACAGCGGAGTCATTGACACTCAAACACCTGATATTTTTCTTTGGTGTAATCCATGCCCCAGGAGACAGGAAACCCTACCTTGGTCTTCTAAGCCACAGTTTGGGAAGGTGTTTATCCCTGGGACCGGGGTTTCCAAGTTCAGCAATAACTACTGATACGATTTGGATATCTGTCCACTCCAAATCCCACACCGAAACGTAATCCCCAGTGCTGGAGGCAGGGCCTGGCGGGAGGTGATTGGATCATGGACTGAGTCCCTCATGAATGGCTCAGCGCCATCTCCTTGTGATGAGTTAGTTCTCGCTGTGAGTTCCTGGGAGATCCGGTTGTGTAAATTGTGTGGCA